AGAGAAGAGCCACTGCCTCATAGCAGTGGTCTTTCACGGAAATCAGCCTCATCATGCAGCCGACGTACCTGACGAGACGCCCATAATGCAACCGGTGCATGGTCCGACCCTGGCCGCAACATCCATTTCTTTGTGTCGTGAGTTTGAACAAAAAACTTCCATTAAAGCAAGGGTGGCTCACGGAGAGGACTCGGCCATCGGTTCGGGCACCACCAAAAACACACACCTACACAACACCTCGTTTGAGCAAATGCCAAACTCCAAGCAAGCATTGAAGTGTTACTTAAACTTGTCAGGCTTTCACTCATGGGAGAAGTAAACTCTCGTCGGAGATATACTTGAATTTCTAAAGAAATTGTATGTTCAAACAGTCTGCGAAGTGAACAGTACATGAACTCGGCCTTTTCATGTCAAGAATACCATTGTATTAGTTTAACGTTGTTTCGTAATATGGTACTATAGTCTATAGTAGTAGTATGGTAGGATAAGAGTGGGCATCGGGGTACAGGGTACCGTTGATGATTTCAGCTTAGGTGCTATTTGGCAGCACAACCCACCACCATTACTACTACTACTACTACTACTACTACTACTACTACTACTAGTACTAGTACTACGACTACTACGACTACTACGACTACTACTACTACTACTACCACTACTACTGCTAAAGAAGTAGTAGTAGTAGCAGTAGTAATAGTAGTAGTAGTAGTAGTAGTAGTAGTAGTAGTAGTAGTAGTAGTAGTAGTAGTAGTAGTGGTAGTAGTAGTAGTAGTAGTGGTAGTAGTAGTAGTAGAAGTAGTAGCAGTAGTAGTCGTAGTACTAGTAGTAGTAGTAGTAGTAGTAGTAGTAGTAGTAGTAGTAGTAGTAGTAGTAGTAAAGCGCCACGAGCGGCTCGAGGGGGGGAGGGTACGGGAGTCCATGGCACTGCAGTCTGGCACTGCGCATCTCAGAGCCTGGATCCTAGAGGAGGTTGACGACCTTCTGCAGGGGTCAAACGACGCTGCAGACATCTGGGCGATAGATTTTCTCTCCGCACTGTGGAAACAATCGACGCTGCTGGAAATACTTCTGGATTCGGCTTTTATTCTTCCACGACACTCGTTTGCTAGACGGACGCTTTTTGCGGCGAGGAATTACCCAGTGGAACTTGCATCTGCCATAGCTAGCTTTGTTCGACAACATGCAGATGCAGATATGGCAGGGCCTCTCGACCCATCCCCTGTGCAATAATTGCTCCCATCTTTTACAGCGAGACGACGACACCATGCTTATGGGGGGAGCAAGCTCGTCCCGGTCCCAATTCCGGGAGGGGGCGGATGATGAAGCAAACCAGTCGAGTGATGCTTCGCCCCCTGGCGTGCGGGTTGACGGTACATCCCTCAGGCCGTCTGGAGCTGGTGTGGTGACACCAGTGAAGCGAAGGGACTCCAAAGTCGGCTCGATTCCAACCGCGAGCATTGAGATGAGTAGGGTCAAGAAAAGATCACTGAGACGCGCGGTGAAGCGCGCTCAACGCACTCCAGGCGGTAGCGCAACCTATCGTGGTCACAAGCTGATACATCGCCAAGCGTTTTCCCCTGCATCAGCCGCTCCGGTGGCTGCTGTTGCACAGACAGCCCAGCGCATAGACATACTGTCGTGGAACTGCAGTGGATTGACGCAGCTTCTGTTCGAGGAGCTCAAGTTGTACCTCAGAAAGCATTCGGAAATCATGGTGGTTTGCATTCAGGAAACTCACAGGGCTTTTCAAAATGAGTGGGTTGCCGAGGGCTGGACGTTTATTCATAGTGCCTCTCTCAAGGCCCATCATGGAGGGGTCCTTCTTGGTTTCAGAAACGGGTTTTGTGATCGCGACTCATTGAGATGGCAAGAGTTGAGTCCGGGACGGCTGCTACATGCTCGCTGCTTCGCGAAGAATCAGCACATGGATTTCATATGCATCTATCAGCACGCGCTCCCCTTTGAGGCGGAGGCCTTGCAGGCAACGCTCGACAAAAGGAGGAAGCTGTGGACCCAACTTGACGCTCTGCTCAAAGCCTTGCCGGTCAGATCATCCATTGTGGTAGCTGGTGATCTTAACTCGAATCTGTGTACGTCCCCTCCATGCATTGGACCCAGTGTATTGCACAATCAGGCTAAGCCTAAAGTATTAGAAGAGCGCCAGTGGCTAACTGGCATGCTCGCAGCGCATCAGCTAGCTGCCTTGAACACTTGGTCGCGCAAGCAGCCCACGTACCGACATCCGAGCGGAACATCTCAGATCGACTTTGTGCTAGTAAGGACCTCCCTTGCGGACTAGGAGGCTCGGAAGTGTCAGCCCACAGACCCGCCGATGGCGGGGTGGCGCCCCTCGGGTCATCAGATGCTTCGTACCTCCATACCTCTTCGGTGGCAGCCGTGGCGGTTGAATCAGTGTCGCAGGCTCTATGTGGGGATCAGCCCTCGGTTCCTGACGACTGGACCGACATGCAGATGGCGTGGCTCGCGAAGGAATGAGGCGGCTCCATACATTACGGCAGCTTTGAAGCATCGTGGTGATCATACATCCAGAGTTTTGGGCACCGACGAGGAGCTCCGGCGTGTTCTGCGCACCAATGGAGCTCTGACTCTTCGTCATCGTCTTCGGCTTTACAAGGTTCTTCGCATCTATGAGGAGGGTATCAGCAACCAGGTGGCGTCTCGATGCGACAGCATACGCAAGGATGCCGGTCGTGATGAGGAGCTTGAGATCACGCCTGCCTCCACCACGTTGTGTCGTGCGAGCCTTCAAATGCACATCAAACATCAGCATGTTGCCGTAAACAGACGCGGCTGCATGACTGGCGCTCCCTTGAGAAGCACATCACTGAAGGTCGTTGACGAGGTCGACAATGCCCTGCAGATGACGGTGGCTGAGCAGCTCATACCGGACGGCTCGAAGATCAAGATACACTGGAGCCTGAACGCGACATTCACCATTCCGTGCAGCTACTGTGGAAGCACGGCGCGTCACACAGAGGTTCGTCCCAGTCGTGGTGCAGCGGTCATGTCCAAGGCCGGAGCAGGTCTATTACCGCGGGATCCGGCTCCGCAACTCGATGGACACTGGCTGCAGCGATGGTGCCGATTACTGCCGAGCCCTAGGAAGTCTTGTTGCACTTTGTCAAGGTGCAGTTCGTGCAGGCAACACGATGCGGCGGAGTTTACGCATAAGCTCCTGCGCGGCGGGGGTCCGATCACGATGTGCATACCGCACGAGGAACAGTGAAACCGTAAAGAATGAGGTCCGCTCTATTGTGGAACATCATGGACCCACAGTCACGGAGGGACACTATCGCTGGTGCTTGCTTTTGGCAATGCTGGAGTGGTGCCGACTCTCAGTTCCAGTTAGTCCTTGATGCAATGGGTCATGTTCATGCGGGGAGACGGTGCTATGCCAGTGCATCCTGTGATTTCTGAGAGTCGGTGAGCCTTGATTCGTGCGATTAAAGTTTCGTGTCGTGACTGCGACATGAGGTTCAAGCTGCCATGTGTGTACAGGTCCAAGCTGTCTTGATCTCTGGAACACTTGGTTCCACGATTCCTTGTATGTGCATGTAATCTTTAACCCTACTTTGATTTTGATGCGATTGGCGACCGCTAATGTGCCATTCTCACTTGCAGAATAACTGGAAGTGTTGAAAGTATGATCGCTGAGCCTCGGCTCGGGTCGTTCAGCATGCTTGGGCCTTCGGACCGATGCTGATGCTTTTAATTCTTTTGTGGGTTGTCATAGACAATGCTGCTTCGGTAGCCAGGCGAAGCCTGCCGACTCGCTAGGCGAACCCCGGACGATCGCCGCGAATGGAAGGAAGGAAGTAGTAGTAGTAGTAGTGGTAGTAGTAGTAGTAGTAGAAGTAGTAGTAGTAGTAGTAGTCGTAGCAGCAGTAGTAGTAGTAGTAGTAGTAGTCGGGGGCGAGGGGGGGAGATAAACCAACAAAGAAGACAAGTGCCTGATGGCTACTTCATCGCGTGCTTCCCGCCCTCGCGACTTCAATTCACACAAAAACCCCTCCCCCAAAGCCAATCCAAACGGAGCTCGCAGGCCGAAGCCCAGTCCGCGGAATGACACTTGCTTTGTGGAGACGGAAACTTCTGGTGTCATAGCTTAATTTGTTGTCCAGGGACCAGGGAACTGTTGTCCTGATTGCTTTACGTTCTGTGTTGGTGCACTTTCCTGTCCCAATGCCACCCACAGACGGCACACGGCATATTGAATACTTAATATTCATGGAAGCCAAGGGAAAAGGACAGGCTACACGAACCGAAGAGCTTGTGCTACAACACAAATACAAGAAGAGTAAATCACTATAGAATGAGCATTAATGAAAAAAGGGTGGCACTCGCAATTAGAGAAACAACAAGAATGGAGGTAATCCTGCTCGCAAATCCCCAAAGGATCGGCACCATTCGCAGGAGTGATGCTTTTTCACTCAGTCAGAGCATGTTGGGAGCGCTCCCAAAGTCCGTCGGGCACACTCTCTTGTTGCATCTGTGAGAGCAATTGCAAGATTCTTGGGATTTGCTGACATGTAGGTTTCGGGCTGAAAACGCAAGTATCTTGCGACTTGATGGGTCGTCAGATCAGGTTACATCTTCAACGACCACCTAACCGTAACACATACAATGCTGCATGTGCCCTGCGGAATGACCGCTGGCCAGATGCAACGTGAGATGTGCAACAGCCAGACCAACAATCCTAGCATGTCCTAGCGATCCTCTGCAATGAGTCCTGCAGTACTCCCAAATCTGGTGAAGAGGCAGGGCTTCGACTAGGAAGCAACAAGCGGTGGACATTCATCTTCTCCTTGTAGGGATTTGTTCAGTGCGAGTCGCTGGAATGCCAGGATTGCTAAGACAACCAGTCGCTGGATTCGATGCTGCAGCAATTAGCAGCAAGTTTTCCAGGCCCAAGGCTTCATGAGCTGGAATCGCGAAATCGGTCGCCCCAGTGCACGGGCATGAGATTCAAGCTCGGTCTATGGCATCTTCTTCCGCTCACACTTGCCGCCCTTGGCAGCCTGGAGCTGGCGGTCGGCTTTCATCGGGGTCAGCTTCGTCGCCCGCTCCACCCTACTGAAATGCAGTTGAGGCAAGAGCGTTCGTAGTCTTGCAGTTCTGCTTGGGGGAGGCCTTCCAGCTTGAGAAATGATGACAAAGACAAGGACTTGAAAGAGCCGTGTTGATCTGCCTCATCCCTTGAGATCGGACAAGGAGGTAAACTCGGAGTGCTTTTCCCAGGCAAATACCTGCAAAACAAGCTCATGCTAAACAGCCCGAAGGCAATATTGTCACCAACCTATGTGAGCAAAAGCTGGGGCCGGGTCTGAACCTGGCCTTGACTCGCAGACACTGACAACCTCCACAGAATCGAGAGGTTGGATGATCAACTCTTTCTCCAAAGCAACCACACACGTAGCTTCAACAGAAAGCCTGTCAACTGTGAGGTTCCCGTGCTCGTTCTCTGCATACACTTCCAAGAACAGATCTGCCACCTGGGGGCAAGGTTCCCATTCTCACAGTCGCGGTATGACTTTGGCTTGCCAAACTGGCCAGCTTCGACCGCACGTGGCGAAAGCATGCGACAGCCAGCGTACGACTTACGACAAATGGTCAACTCGGTCGCATGTCGAGAAAGCGGCACGCTGCAATAACATGCTGCGCTGGCACGAATGTCACCTCGAACTTCAAGAGTTGCAGCAGCTTCCGTCGCCTCATCCAGCATTGCTGAGAGAAGACAGCTTGCGGAGGTGATTCACCGAGACTTTTGAACTCTGGGCACCTGGCAACTTTAGTTGCTTCATCGTGTTGTGATTCGCTGTCTCATGGAGGTGGAGGAGGGTGCACGCAGGAGGTGCAGCCTAAGTTCAGCCAATATGGCACACCGAAAGCGTCTGCAACGTTTTGCAGCTGGACTTCGTCCATGGCACATGGCAGAGCTGAAAATGTTAACAAGCACCGAAACTGACAACAGAATCGGATTTGGAAAATGCGGCTGCGCCTGAAATCGGGCATGAGCCTGAACTTCGATGTGATAAACCAAACATCCACCAACGAAACAACACCAACGTGGCAACTCCAGCTGCGCAGCAAGGATGCAATGCTGACCGTGCGATCCACACCCTTGCAATCTGTTGAGAACGCGGCCGCTGACATTTCGAACAACCTTTGCAGTCAATCCGATGCTTGGGCTGGCAAAAAATTACGATTCCGCTGCTGACAGCTGCCAAACCTTGCAAAGCTGAGGGCCGCACCCAGCCAACACTGCAAGAGTCCTGCTCGTGGACTGCATTTTTTGGAGCATGCAGAACATGTCAGAATGGATGTATCAAATCTTTGTTAACAAGTTGTGATCAACCGGCGCCTCGTCGCAGAAACCAGGGCCACGGACCGCACAGCGCTCACACTGATCTGCGCAAGCCTCTGTGCTTGGTGGGATATTTCTGCGAGCAATGGATGGGTTCCGTTGCGGTGAAACAACTTTAGCTTTGAGGTAAACACTTGGACAGCCACTTCTGCACAAACCGTGCGGTATGCTTGCAGCATCAGCGTTTCCCGCATAATCAGCTTCGGACCAAGCATTGTCCCGCGTCCAGCCCAAATCCTGAAACGCATTCCTGGCTGGACACAGGGTCTTGAGCATAGAGACGCGCGGTGGAAGATCGATCTCACGCCAACGAGTGTCATTGCGTTGTCCGAAACAGTGCTTGGGATCTGCAGCCAAAGGTCGATGTCACACCAAGACGAGTAGCGTTTTGCCCGAAGGAGCCCCTTCACCTATCAGCATTGCTGCCGAGAGTCTGCGTAGCCTGCGGGACCTGCCTGAGCAAAGGTTGCGGTGTGTCTTCATGGCAGTGTGTGGTCGAATTGGTGTCTCTCAACGGTATCCTGCTGGCTCACAGCTCACCTCCACCGATGTGCTTGCTCTCCAGGCTCCGGGGCTCGAGCCGCGTTTTGCAGTCGGTCGCGCAGGCCTTGCCACCAAGCAAAGCACGATGCCTTTTGTCATGCCATTGACTCAGTGTCGAGCAAGAAGTGAGATCTCATGACGATTGCCAACCCTGGTTTAATTGAGGTTCCTCATAAGGCCAATGCCGCCTATGCTATATTGACGATGGCTTTCGTCGTGGCTTACTTGTTGCTGCAAGGTAGTCTTTACATGTCTTGGAAACATCTGCCCTGCGTGACATAAGGCACCAATGCATCGAACTCCCAGAAGTGCACCTTCACCTGACAGTGTTAGCCTTGCCAGCGGCACGGAGCAGAGTGCACAGGGGTGCCTCGCACCGTAACGTCACAGCGACCCAGGGATTGGTCCTCGGGCCAACGCAAGACGTGAAGGCAACGTTGCTTGCTTGGGTCGCCACACCTTTCATCTGCAACCACCCCTCTTCTGTGTCAAACCACGCCACCAGGTCTCTTTCAGACAAAGGGCGCAGACGTCACAGCAGCCGACTTGCCACTTTGAGCAGTCCGTGCCTGCATGCGCACTCATGCCCACATCAGCTGAAAACAAGGTGCTGCCCGATGCTCGTCCAGGAATCCCGACCCCGACATAACATAGAAACTGCACTTGTCTGCCTCCTTGCAGGCCATGGCAGCTTCCTCTCAGCAAAGGCTTGGATTGCGACATTCAGCATGCTCTACCTCGCATGCCTGTGCAACTCAGCGATAATTAGACGACGGCTCCTGACAAGACAAAACACACTTCTTCGTCCGTGGTGCCTAGTCAAAGAGATGAGAAATCATGGCACATGTTCGTCGCAAGCAACACATCACAAGCAGAACGCGACACACTTGTGACTGCTCACATATGCTCGAGACGAGTACGACCGACCTCACCTCAGTGGCATAAAACTATTTTTTACACCTTTTCTTTGCACAAGTGTTTGAAACGCAAGCTCACATATGCTCGAGACGAGTACGACCGACCTCACCTCAGTGGCATAAAACTATTTTTTACACCTTTTCTTTGCACAAGTGTTTGAAACGCAAGCGGACGGGCCGTCCAGGATCCCTTTGCATATGTGCAACACTCAGCGAATATGGTCTAATCCACTCTGAGAAAAGAGCATTGGCGGCGATGATGATGATGATGATGGTGTGCTTCTGAGTCTACTCCGCCGATGGCCATCATCATCCTGTTCATCTTTCTCTTGCAGGAAGTGCCTTGTGTCCCACGCAGGCCGAGCGAAATGGCAAAACGCAAACCAAAAACATGCTTGTCTAAAAGTTCGTAACGAAAAAGAAAGCGACGGTAACTGAAACCAAGTTGGCACACAATTGGGTTTGTCCCGCGCGAGTCACGTAAAACGCATATCGGAAATTCCGCCGTTTTCCACGGAAATCAACATGCCTAACACCTCGGTCAAAAACAAGTCAAAACGCATGTTCTCCCAAAACTGACATGCCGTTTGTCCGACGCAGGCCACACAAAACGTAAGTTGCCGTCACCTGCCCCTGCCAGCGTTTACATCGAATGAGGACAGAACCCAACTCAATTCTCTCATGTGCCTACCTCGCCCATCCATTTGCATAACCGAGCGGACAACGTGAAACAGTCTCATAAACAATCTAAGCCCAATTCGATCTTTACTGTTCATCCGAGGTTGTGGCTACCAACGCTGGTATGGCAGCGACGACCTGACACGCAAGGATTCAAAATCTGTAATTCAGGGCAAAGCATGACATGAGGCAGTGGCATCTGGACGCCGTTGCAAGCGACAAAATGCCTCGGCGAGACACCCGAGGAATCCAGCAGTGCGAGACAGCTCGTCAACACTGCAGCCTTGCCTGACAAGCCAGTGATGAAGTGTCCTCCCTTCCTGGGTGCCCAGCTGAAGCGGGCGTCGGCCTTCGATCGCGTACACTTCCACGACCTTAAAACGGCAGAACAAACGCAGGCTGGGGCGGGGCTGAGGGCCGGTGGCCTGAAAATATGATTATCTTCGTGACTTGCTTGACCGCCATGCATTTACCTCAGCATGTACCCCTGCATTGGTTCAAAGGCTGAGGAACTGCCGCTCCTGCAAGTGGACGCGCTCGACGCAAGGAGATGATGCAAGGAACAAACAGGTGTGTCGGACGACACTCGCGAAGCTGTCAGGCTGCGAAACTTGTCTAGGTCTCCAAACACGCAATAGGCCGGTACACGGTACGAAAACTCTCTGAGACAGAAGCCGGTGAGAAGGTAACGCGCTTTGCCTTGAAATCATGAATGGCTTGCGAAATTGCGCTTTTTAGGATTTTGGGTTTCGACTCTTGTGGTTGCGGCAAGACTGACAGGCACCTTGTGTCGATATAAATTCCCGCGTGTGGGGCGTAGCAGCTGATGTTTAGGCTTTTTGCATGAGGCTTTAGGGTTTAAGCGTTTGGGTGTAGGAACCATCTGATATGTCAGACTGTAACTGGAAACGGCTTCCTGAGCATCCACCAAAACGTCGAGACTCATGGCCGTGAATCTCCGCTGTCAGTGTGCGCTCGCAATAGGCTGCGTCATGCAAGCTGTTCCAACTGAGTGTGGTGCTTTCTTGGCCATGTCCTCCAAAGAATGGCAAATGCTTGGAGCTTTCGCGGCTTTAAGGCCATTGAGGTCTAGGGTACGGAGCTCAGGGTTTAGGAGTTCGTGTTAAACCACCGTATTACATCGGTATCCATACTCAGTTGCGCGTATCCCCTTCCGTGGCTCCAATCGCAAATTCCTGAACCCGTCCCCTTCCCGGCCGCTGCTGACTGGCGGGTGACCCGTATGCTTCTGTATGCAATACTCCTGATGAGCGCTATTCTATGTGGTTGTGGGTCACCAGCCAGCCCCGCTGACCTTTGGTCCTCTTTCCTCCGCGACGTGAGGAGGGTGGCCACCTGGAGCGGGATTTTGGAGGCTTTGGCATGCAGGTTACAGACTGTGCTTTCTGAGGAAGCCATGTAAAGAACAACAAACACTCATATGCACCCGAACTGACAGTAAGAGTCGTCGTGGTGGCGGTAGAGGGGGTTTTTCAAGTAGCACTATTGCTAGTAATAGTAGGACTAGTAGTCGTCGTCCTCGCCGTCGTAGTGGTATAAGTATACGTAGAAGAAGTAGTAGTAGCAGCAGTAGGAACCATGATTTAAAAGAAACAAGAGTAAGAGTAAGCAACAGCTATTGCGACATCTAGTACAAGTACTAGTAGTAGTAATAGTAGTAGTAGTAGTAGCAGTAGTAGTAGTAGTAGTACTAGTAGTAGTAGTAGTACTAGTACTAGTACTAGTACTAGTACTAGTACTAGTAACAGTAACAGTAATAGTAATAGTAATCGTAGTCGTAATCGTAATCGTAATCGCAATAGGAATAGGAATAGTAATAGTAATAGTAATAGTAATAGTAATACTACTACTACTACTACTACTACGACGATTACTACTATTGCTGCTGCTACGACGACGACTACTACTGCTGCTACCATGGCGACTAACCCTCATGACCTGACCTCCTACACTAGCATCTACATGCAGAGTAGCAAACATTTAGCACGACACCCAAGCTCTGTCCAAGCGCATCAGCATATGGCTGCCGCGTGGCAGAAAGCTCCTCGGACTCCTCGTGCAGGCAATCTGCGCATGGGCAGCAGCTAGCGCCCATCTTACCTATGCTAACGGGGTCACGCGATGTCAGATGTGAAACGCCGCTGGCAGGGTCTCCAGGAGTCGTACTTTGTTGTAGCTTGCAAAGTCTCTGGTTGGTGCTCAGATGTGCTAAGCTACCTCATGTGAAGTCCGGTCTTAGGAGTTCAGGCATTTGGGTCAGGTCATGTCAGAACTTACCGCTGTAGGTTCTGAAAGATCAGCATAGTTCGCACATGGCTTGAGCAAGACTCCAGACAGCGCGGTGCTGTCGCGCAGGTATCGACTACACAGAAATGACGAATCACTTGCCCGCGGCTTACTTTGGCAGCCTTTGCAAATTCACCGATTTGGGGTCTGCCGCTCGCCGGCCGTCATATGGCAGGATACACCAGGAACTGTGAAGTGACAATGATTCTAAAACATGTCGCATGTTGGTTGATGAGTTTCAACCACACATCCAGTGACTTCGGTTTTTGCTCGTCCAGTCTCTGTACAGTAAACCAGACGCAACAAGAGTATCACGCAATCGTGGCGACTGTAGGAACTGACTGTTGTTGCTTGTGGAGGTGGCGATGATGTGGTGGTTGTTGTTGCTGCTGCGGTTCTGGGCGGTCCCAGTGATGCTGCTGGTGGAGTGATGGTGGCGGCGTCGTTGACGAAGTTGTGGTTGTGGCTCTTGTAGTGGCATAACAGTCCCATCGCAATGTAGATATTGCATTTCCGACCGGACATCTTGAGACATACCGCCGAGCACAGCAAATTCAACGCGACATTTTCAGCCGAAGTCGTGGCTATGAGGCATCTTGTTGCGCACGCAGATGTAGCCCGAGCCTGAACTTCGATGCGATAAACCAAACATCCACCAACGGAACAACATCAACGTGGCAATTCCAGCTGCACAGCAAGGATGCAATGCTGACCGTGCGATCCACACCCTTGCAATCTGTTGAGAACGCGGCCGCTGACATTTCGAACAACCTTTGCAGTCAATCCGATGCTTGGGCTGGCAAAAAATTACGATTCCGCTGCTGACAGCTGCCAAACCTTGCAAAGCTGAGGGCCGCACCCAGCCAACACTGCAAGAGTCCTGCTCGTGGACTGCATTTTTTGGAGCATGCAGAACATGTCAGAATGGATGTATCAAATCTTTGTTAACAAGTTGTGATCAACCGGCGCCTCGTCGCAGAAACCAGGGCCACGGACCGCACAGCGCTCACACTGATCTGCGCAAGCCTCTGTGCTTGGTGGGATATTTCTGCGAGCAATGGATGGGTTCCGTTGCGGTGAAACAACTTCAGCTTTGAGGTAAACATTTGGACAGCCACTTCTGCACAAACCGTGCGGTATGCTTGCAGCATCAGCGTTTCCCGCATAATCAGCTTCGGACCAAGCATTGTCCCGCGTCCAGCCCAAATCCTGGAACGCATTCCTGGCTGGACACAGGGTCTTGAGCATAGAGACGCGCGGTGGAAGATCGATCTCACGCCATTGCATTGTCCGAAACAGCACTTTCACCTACCAGCATTGCTGCCGAGCATCTGCGCAGCCTGGAGAGACACCTGCCTGAGCCCAGGTTGCGGTGTGTCTTACTCGCCGTGCGTGGTGTAATTGGCGCCTCTGAACGGTGTCCTGCCAGTTTACCTCCACGGATTTGTTTTGTTGTCACCCTCCAGGGCTCCAGCCCCTGTGCAACGTTTGCAGGCGGTCGCGCAGGCCTTGCACGGTTCCAAAGGAGGCAAATTCAAACCTCGCTGTAGCTGTCCGGCGCCCAACAAGTAATGACGACGGTTGCACCGCCGAACGCCTTCTAAGGTACCGTCAACGAATCGAGTATCCCTGACACTGATACTGCATGGACGAAGACTTCAGTCGTGGCTTGTTTGCTGCAAGAAAGGAAATTGTCAACATGTCTTGGTCTGTATGCGACTTACTCGTGCAGAGCTGTGCAAGGGATGCCTCGCAGCTGCGATCCGGTGTTAATCCGAAGCCCTCGCGGCAGACGTCACAGCGACCCAGGGATAGGTCCTCGGCCCATTGCAACACGTCCCGGTCTCCATACTTTTCATCTGAACCCATATTCAACCTGCTAAGAAGCCGGAGCTGCAAGACAAAGCACCCCACCAGGTCTCTTTCTGACAAATGGCGCAAACGTCACAGCCTTCGACTTGGCACTTTGAGCAGTCCGTGCCTGCAGACGCACACATGCCCATATCAGCTGAATGCAAGGTGCTGCCGATGCTCGTCCAGGAATCCCGACCCCGACACACCGCAGAAAGTGCACTTGTCTGCCTCCTTGCAAGCCATAGCCAGCTCGGCAGCTTCCTCTCAGCAATGGGTTGAATTGCGAGATTCACCATGCTCTACCGCACGTGCTTGTGCAACCCAGCAAAAATTAGACGACGACGCCTGACAGGATAAAAACACTTCTTCGTCGGTGGTGCCCAGTCAAAGAGATGAGGAATAATGACATATGTTCGTCGAGGGCAGAAATGTGTCACTGTCGTCTCCTGAGTCGCAGTGACCCGGTCCAGCTTTGCCTGAAGGCAGAATCACAGGCAGAACGCGACACACAGGTGACTGCTCACATGTGCTCGAAACGGGCGCGACATCAGTGGCACCTTTCTTTGCACAAGAATTAGAAACGCAAGCGGGAGGGCCGTCCAGGATCCCTGTTGCATACTTTCAAAACTCAACGGTCCTGGTCCCCCCTCCTTATCCAACAAAGAACAGGTACCAAACAGGTCAGATGTACTCGAGATTATGCAGACAAGTGCGGCAACCTCATAAGCTGTTCAGTTCAAGAGGCTGCAGTTGGAGCAGTGCATGGAGCAGGGGGCGCACACTCCTCGTGTCGGTCTCAGAGCTCTCAACCAAGAGCACTACCAGTACAGCTGAGCTTGAGAGACACATTTCGGTCTCCGTCCGGTCTCCTGTGGGTGTCAGGCTGAAGCCCTGGTCGCAGCGCTCTGGATCACAGCGGCCTTCTCCCAGCAGCTCGCACCTGAGAACACGAATTCCGAATTGCAGCGCCGCATGACGAGTTCTTCCGCTCGGCCCGCCGGGCCTGGAACAGTGATCGGCGCAGCTCAGGCAGTCCTCGCAGCTGGCCGTATGAGAGCACATCTAGGACGGACTGCAACTCAAAAGGGAACCCACCCCACCGAAGCTGCAGTCCTGTACAATTCTGGTGCCATCGCTCCTGTTCTTGAGTGTCGAGCCTTCCACGCATTCCTCAATCACAGTCAAAAAGTCACAAACAATTGCACGTCTATTCTTTCGTTTCCTGCCGTCAATTGAGCGTGACAGCCTTTTCACAGCGAGCTTCCAGGTTCTAGTAAAGCCTTCTTCTAGATGTGCTGAGACTGCTGGCCTGGCAGAAGTCCAGGAGTGCATCGCATCGCCGGCAGCCGCGAACTTGACATGGCCTCACTTTCTCAAGGCATTGCAGACGCAGAGAGGCTCCAAGGAGCCCAGGACTCGAACTCGCAACTTCGGCGGTCTTTCGTGAGGCCGAAGGTGGCGGGGCAGCGACGACCTGACACAAGGTAAAGAGTGGCTCGTGGTGGATCGGGATCAGTTCCCAAGCATTACTATCCTTTCGAAGAAAAGCTTAGCGGGACAAAGCATGCCACGAGGCAGTGGCATGGAAGCTCTGTTGGAGTTGCAACACTGTCGTCGGCAGAACGACCTGGGCGAAAATCTAGGGAAACCCAAACTCCATCCACCCTAAACCCTAGACCCTACACGCTGATACTTTGCATGATCTCTTCTTGTGTCAGACAGCTCGTAAACGATACAACCTTGCCCGACAACATGACTGGCGGGCGAATCCGACACGAGGAGCTCCATGCTGCGAGGCTTCTGTTTCGGCGTCCTCCCAAAAGAGCTTTTCCTGGGCGCCCAGCCCAGGCTTGTGGCCTGTGCTGGAGTCTTGTCAGGTTGCATGCCATACATCGGTCATCAGGTCTATCGGGGAGATTGGTTCTGTCATGTCCAGACAGCACCTCCTCGTCGCAGCCCGAGCAGATACTTCCAGCACATGGAAGACCTCAGCACTTGGATCAGTTCGAACTTCATTCTGAAACGATCGCTTGATGCACAGAGGAAATCTCCTTTAAATGCCTGAAACCACAATGCTGTATTGTGGTCTGAACCTGTTGTGCTTCACGGAGAAGCTTGGTAATGCCATGACTTTAAGCCTCAAGCATCCCGAAGATAAAACCGGCAAACAGAAAGACTTCGATCACCTGGAATTGCCGACCAAGCCCTCAAGTCTTCTCATGCCCAACCGGCTGTTGTACGTACGCTTTAAGTGTGCACGGTGCGACCTTCTGTGCTGAGCTTCATGGCACTGGCCGGTCAAGGAAAGCCCACGCCCTGGCGCTTCGACTTCATGCTGGAGGCACTCTGACAGCGGAGCTTCCCTGCTTATCTGACTGCTTTCCAGGCCTAGAACGCATTTCCCTTCATCGCATCGCCCAGGGCCTCCAGCTGCACAGGCTAACTTCTTCTTCTTGGCAACAACAGGAAACACATGTCAAGCTGCCTTAGCTTTCGCACTCACTTGTACGCTTGTATTGGCAAAAACTTGAGCGCCAAAGACGAGTACTTCACGGCAGGCATCACGACAGAAAACAAAGTGCCTACTGCAGATACTCAGGTAGACGGTATGACACGAACGGCAAAAAAGAGAGAGAGAGAGAGAGAGAGAGTTTGAATTAGAATGGAACGATTGCAGCAATGGCAGCAGTACTATGAAGAAGAAAGATGGAACGGAGTGACGAGAAAAGTAACACTCCAGAATATCATCATCTTGGTCGTGCCAGTATGGGCAATGACAGTTTAAAAAAACGGGACCGTTCGTGTTCGCATAATAGCAATATAGGTAGCAAACACATGTCTGCAACATGGTACAAGCCGTATCAATCAGCATTGATGGCACTTCGATGGGCGTCATACAGTAGCTGAAATGGCAAAGCGAATACCAATGCCAGTAAATGTACCTGAGGCAGCATTGAAGCTGAGTGCTCGAGGTTTTCAGCGGAGTTCGAGGCTCCGTTATCGCTCCTCTGTTCAGATCAGCTGTCGCACTCCTCCCTGCAAGCGGCTCTCTCGAGAATATTTATTCATTCAGGGTGATCTGCGTGTCAAGTTTTGAAGAAATGTGCGTGTGTGCATGTATTGAATACTTACGGATCCGACGCTCTGTGACATGGTGCGAGCACATTAGTCCCTAATTGCACAATTGTCGGGGCCCGACGACGATCGACGATGATGAACCAATCTTACAGCCTGCACTGAAAACATATTTAATGTTCCTCTTTGCAACCCGTTCTTTGTGAATGTTCAACCCTGGTTGTCGGAAAGCTGTGGAGCCTGAGCTTCACCGGAAATTGCTTTGAATTTGCAGATCATGCGACCACCTACTACTCTACTACTGTACTCCGCCATCTTTTCACCATGTCTGCCTCGGTGGCGACATGCCTGTAGAAAGCAACACGCGACCACTTGAAACATGCAGCTTCTCGAAACCATTGCCTGACTTGTGGCACTGTGCACATCCTTCACCACAGGGCCTCAACCGCAACCCGTGCAGACATGCTCAACCGACGCAAGCAGAGGCGAAGCTTCAGCGGTTCCAGGACCCAGGCAGGCAAACCCGGAACTTGCGCCCTGTCGCAGGCGCCTTCAGCGACTTCATCCGCGGAGGAAATGCAAGCATCTGAACCATTCTCGAACCAAGCCAGGTCGGACCGACCTGGTGTTCGTCTTGCTCGCGCTCCTGCTGTGATGGCGACGGCCGGCGGTTCATGAGAAGTGATAGTCATGCTGTGCTTGCAAGCAGCTCGAAGCCTCTGCACTCCTATGCTTCTGGGCGCCCGACTTCCAGCACGTAGCCACTGTCACAGGCCAGGCACGCTCCTTCGGAGTCGCACCTCGACGCGCTCTTTCGAACCCCCAGATTAGAAGCATGTGGTCGGTCGCAGAATGCACGAAACGCAGGCGAGGCCTGAGGCAGTGGGCGGAGCAGACTTTGCGCATGATCACAGCCGACTGCACCGGTGACGGGCCTGAACCCCACAGCCACAACAGCTTCTTAGGAACGATGCCGCCAAGGCGGCCAAGACACAAACGCAAAAGTGGAGTGTAAGTGCGTGACTGAGCGCGCCGGTGTCTTGATTCACCGCAGTGACGAAAATGCGAGCCCTGGCCTTTGCAGGAGAACTTCTGGATCCCAGATTGCAGAAAGCCCCTTTCCATTCTCTGATCCCTTCGACTCAGGGCTCCGGGCCATCCATGGAAAGTCGCCAATGGTCCACTCTGCAAGGTTTGGGAAGGTGTTCTGGTACAGCCTGAGTTGATGACGGATGGTCATTTAGAGCGCCTTCTGAGAAGACCTGTGTCCCGAATGCTAGAAGACTGAGTTGCACTCCCGAGGCCGCCGGCACCGCTTTTCCGCATGGCCTGTCTGCCAGAACAGCTACTTTTCTCAGAGATCTACTCAGTCTACTCTCTGCCACGCACTGTACCTGATTTCTGCGCAACACCAAGAGGCCCCGGAACGCACGAGGCGCGAAATGCAGGCTGCATCCCCTGGTCTCAGGCTGCACCTCGTAGACGGCTGGGGCGAAGCCGTGGCTGGTGAGCCACCAGCGCCTGGACAAACGGAATTGCAAACTTGTCTCGAATCAACCAACAGGCTTTGAGGCTCCAACATCTGCAAGGGTGTTGCCTCCGCATGACCTGCCATGCATCAGCCGTCGTGCAATCCCGTGCGCTCAACGGATCTTTCCCGTTTGACATGTCTGCTGCCCCCTTGCCGGCTCGCACCGTATCGAAGCCCACGGTTGCCATCACCACCACGGCCTTCCATGACCTGCAAGAAACATGCAGATGCCTGTATGATCATGGGGGTCAACATTCTGCGTGTCCGCAGCAGAATGTAACCGAACCAACTTTTTGAGGCTGCGTAACATAGAATCTCCTGCTTAACATGTGTGCGGGGGAAAGCAGTTAACACGGTACCTTACTCTGCAAAGATCTTTCGAATCATCTCTGTCTCTGTGCTCATCGGCATGCGGGCATGGAAGAAAGTCACGTGCAGCTCAAAAGATATCCCACAATGCCCAGCAGCACAATTGCATCAGAATTGGTGGCTTCCCATTCATTCCGCTGTGACTGGAGTGATTGGAGCATGGGCCTGATTGACTGGCAGCAGCCGCAGCAGCCCGATTCACGAGATTTATGCTCGACGTTCTTCGATGCCACGTCCGTGCTTGGCTGCCAAGCACGTTGCCCTATCCATCAGCACATCTTGCACGGTGGGCGTCCCTGCGACAGGTCATCGGGTTCTGACGGCATCGAGGCATGGACTTCGCGCATGGCGTACGCGAACAACTCGAGCAGCAGTATGCAGCAGTAATCCGCATCGGGGAGTGACGTTTTTTTCGGTGGATTAGCCACACGCGCTTGCGGTGCTTCAAAGACATGGCATGGGAGAGCTCGACTACGTCCCCAAAACAGGCAGGATGAAGTCGATCAATTCCGCTTATCTTGCCTGGCAGAGCCCACGAATCCGAAGCATGCGTGCGAACTGCAGGAAACCAAAACAGTCCAGAGTTGATTTTTTCTGGTGTGTTGCGGACAAGCAAGTCATGCCGTCAAACAGCCGTCAGTCACCAGAAAGGGCCTGGAGGCTGGAAGGACTCGGGCGCCCATCTGGAACGACTACCTCGGCGCAAATCCGGTGGATTTTCGCAGCGAAGTTTGCTGTTTCAACATAGAGGTCGTCACGATTTCCTGCAAACATTTTGTGCCTGAACCCAGCTCCAATTTCCAGCAAGTTTCCAGGCTTCCCAAGCTGCTCCATGATTCTGTAAGGGCCTATGGCCTCTGCAAAAAGACTTCGGGTCATCTAAAATCTACAATGACATGACTGTGGTTGCCTTGTTTGAGAGCAGATCATGTGTCCAGACCCACCGTTTTTGGGGGCTCAAGGTGAGCAGCTAGGAGATGCATGGATGAACCCTTTTTCTTCTGCGGTCTCTGACTCCGACATGCTCTGACCGACTGCGATGCACGGAGCTTCGTTTCAGCTTTCCACTTCTCGCACCTTCCACCGCATTTCGTCGCGATCAACTCACCGTCTCTCTATTGTTGCCAACGGTGCTGGAGGGCCCTGGTCTTTCTCACGCACGCAACACTATGTCACCACTGTGTCGCCATTCTCGCGACCTTCTGAAAGGCCGAGGCTTCCACTGCACAAAAGGGGCCCTTCAACAAGCTCCCGACAACTGCAATCGTCTCATCCGAGCGCCAGCAGACTCGTCGAGTGGCACTGCGCATCTGGCTTTCAGTGCGAAATGTGTCGTTCAATCCCCCTCCAAAGGAGCAGAATTGGCTTACACAGCATGTAGCCGAAGACAGGCAAAGCAACAGGCATGCGGCATAGCCTGTAGGAAACGCTCTTGAAAAGGCTTTTGCTCGTGTGTCTTGCCGCAGCTGCAGCACGAAGTTATGCTTTTTGTTTGTCAGCCCACCCAGCCCCTGCGTGTCCGGTGGAATAATCGCAGCGATTTTCCATAGCTGGTCCAAAGTTGAGAACATTTTTGCAAAGATGGCCCGCACGTCAATGAGCGCTGTGTATCTTGACGGGCACAACACGATTTCCGGGGCCCGGTACCATTTGTGGACTACATCGTCGGTGAGGTCATCTTGACCTGCAGAAGCATCATGTGATGAATGTAGTTATCGAACGTCACAGATCTTCAACGAACAATCTGTGGTGACGAGAACATTATCCGGTGTCAGATCCCGATGGATCGTCAAAGCCAGATGCGCAGTGCCACTCGACGAGTCTGCTGGCGCCCGGATGAGACGATTGCAGTTGTCGCGAGCTTGTTGAAGGGCCCCTTTTGTGCAGTGGAAGCCTCGGCCTTTCAGAAGGTCGCGAGAATGGCGACACAGTGGTGACATAGTGTTGCGTGCGTGAGAAAGACCAGGGCCCTCCAGCACCGTTGGCAACAATAGAGAGACGGTGAGTTGATCGCGACGAAATGCGGTGGAAGGTGCGAGAAGTGGAAAGCTGAAACGAAGCTCCGTGCATCGCAGTCGGTCAGAGCATGTCGGAGTCAGAGACCGCAGAAGAAAAAGGGGTTCATCCATGCATCTCCTAGCTGCTCACCTTGAGCCACCCAAAACGGTGGGTCTGGACACATGATCTGCTCTTGGCAATGATGTGCTCATGCCGCTGTCAAGCTCGCAGCGTAGTAGAGTCGAGGTGGCCGGCGGCTGCCTGGTTGAGCGAAGTGACGAAGCGAGCACCGCGGTCTAGTCAAAACAGCGTCAACGAGCCATGTGCCCATGGGCTTGCCTGTTCCAACTTCGCCCGGACTCACGCAGGGCACACCTTCGCACAAAGCCATTGCTTTCAGCGCACTGCTGGAGTCTGCTGGAGCCGAGAGCGCGACTAACCTGCACCCCAGCAGACTGGTCCAGTGCCAGAGAATCTGACTCCGGAACGATCACCTGCCCGAACCGCGTCTCTTTAACAACTCCGCTCGGGGTTGGCATTCTGCACCTGAGGTGCGCAGCAGCTCTGAGGGAGGCCCATGTTCGAGGTGAGCATCAGCACAGGCTCCTGATTCCTGTCAGGCAGTACTCTGTTTGAGCTCTCTGTTGTGCTGTCTACTCGATTCGAGGAGATGCAGCAGAGTCGGGGCACAAGAAGTTGCTGGAAGCGGCATCATGCATCTACCCCTTATGCATGTCAGTCTACAATGACAGTAACAAGCTTCGTAGTAAACCAGATGCCAGCCTGTTCCGAGTTGAATCGCGCCTGACAGCTCCGTAATGCACGGCCGTCAGGGGGCAAATGTTGAAGTAAACCGACACACAGACCTGGGTGATCAAGCACGCGGAGTTCATGCCATTGGGTCATGAGGTGGGGAGGCGCTGTCTAGCAAGAACCGTCACATGAGGTTTCTCCACTACAGAGACATTCCTGCATCCTCGGTGTCGGACAATCGCTGCTCTATGCCAAAACGTCTCGGGAAGCTCTGACATGCTCTGATGCGAGTGGCGCAAGCGAGCGCTACGCCGACGGGAGCCCAGTAGATCAGGAGCCAGGTCCTGCAAAGTCTCCCGCGAAACCCCGAACCCCCCATCTGCCCTTGGCCTGGGGCGGTGCCTGAGGGGTTCGCCGCCCAGCCGTCGCGCCGAGCGGCGCTGGAGCCTTGCCTGGAGCCGTGCTATGGCGCTCAGAGTCGGGAACTTGCGGCTTCTCGGCCCCTGGCCTGCCAAGTGAAAGCATGCTCGCAGTCAAAGATGAAGAGGATAAAGTTGCAAAGGTAGTTGTCGAAGTCCAGTGTCGTGAAAACAACCCACCTCAGGGCATTGCGCCGCAATGACCAGCGCAAGCGAAGGGCACTGCTGACATCGGACCAATGCCCCCTCGAAACCCGAGCTGCTCAGCGTTCCCGTGTTCTGGGCTCAGGACAATTTGCCGATGGTGGCAATGGGCGTCCTGCCGGGTCGGCTTTCGAGCCGTCACCGACTGCAGCTTGCGATGCAGAGTTGCAGGACTCGCTCACTTTGGGGGCCCTGGGTAAATCCGAAAGGATGCTCTGCAGCGACACTGACCCTCGACTGACCTCACTCAATCTTTCGCTTTCTGCTCAGGTGCAGACGTGCTAGCCAGAATCAGTTGAATTGCCATCAGCAGCACAACCTGTGCCATCAGCTAGGAAAGGACAATGGAAAGTTGCCACATGTCAGAGCATGCCGCTCAAGTCCATTGCAGCTGATCTTTACCCAGCAAGCTCCAAGCTTCAAGGCAGGCAGTGCAGAGCAAAGACAATGCACATGCCATAACAATGCTGCGACAGACCCTGCGCACCACAGCCACGAGGTATTGCAGGATGAACGCACCGAAGCCCAGGAATCGCTGCTGCATGGTCATTTGGACCTGAAGGAGCAGGAAGTTGGACATGGCAGGGCGGAGCCGGAGCCACCCCAAACAGGATGATTACGACCAACAGGAACAGTAGACTCAGTAGACTTAAGACTTAAGAGATCATGCCGTATGGGATGTTGCATTACAGCTGTACTGAAGCTGCACAATGCCATTATGACTCGATGACTTAGCTTGGGGCAGCTGGCCGGTGTGCGAGAACGCGGTAGAGCTTGGCAGCATCCTGCTGCACGCAGAGCACTTGGGGCTGGACAGTTTCCAGTCAGATCAAGGCTGCACCAAACCCAACCATACACATGCACCTGCACAGAAAACAGCAACACACAACATGCAATGTATGTGCAGGTAAGTCGGAGGCAAAGTCTGTGAAGGCTCAGATGTGCATATGCTTTGCATGTACATGTACTGCGGAGGTGTATGCACATGTGCATGTGTGTCAGATACCTCACAGCTGTACCAGTTCCTATGTCAATGACAGATCGGGGAAGGTCGGTGACACCCTGGAGCTTTGCCACACAATTTGCATGAGCGGCGATTTTGGCAGAGAGATTGGGCGGGCCTTAAACTCCCCACTGACTCTGAAGAGGGTGAGGAGCATGGACCTCAACGCATGATTCCTCATGATCTGCTCACTTGTTGCCAGTGAAATTCAAGAGCTTCGCACCAAGAACACATGGGGTTCGGTGTCTGCTTTCCATGCTGCGATATCAAGCTGCATCCTCCTACAGCCCTCCCACATCATCACGAGGCCGGCGCAAGCACTTCATCGCATTCACAGACCTCAGGTAGACCGGACATAGGCTGCGACATGCCAACGCATTCTCGCGAAGACAGCATCCTTGTGAGCATCCGTTACATAGAGGACCTAAGACCTGGGAACAGTTCCGCCCACTTTCGAGCTGGTGCCCGATGTCTGCGCTCAGTATGACGCCAGTAGTCCGATATCGGAACTACCCACTGACCACTCTCGAAGAAGTACCTGCAGCGTTACTCGCACATCTTGCTTGCCCTCGCTACTTGGATCCAACGGGTGGAGGGGCCGTCTCGCAGAATGCCACACTGCCCATGCACCCCCAGGGCACTCGGGAGATGTCCAGCCCACGATCCAAAGCATGCCGAATTGCCCGACCTACGTCTTAGTTTGCAAAGAACAGGAATTTAGCATCCTGACCGACAGAGACTGCAACAGCGCTGACAAAAGCTGCTTCTACACCTTCTTCGGCCAAGCAGCAGCGACTGCGAGCATGGGAGCAAGCACACTCGCCCTGGCTGACATGACCCCAGGCGCAAAATGAGGACCAGCATGCATTACAATACTTGCGAGAGTAGCTTGCGGAGTGATGTCGATCCACAGGCCACTAATGTGGGTGAAGTCTGACCATGTTTCAGCCGCTTCTGATCGCTCTAAGTTTGCGCAAAATCTCCAAACTCGAAGCACTCGCAAGATCACTGATGAAAGGCTCGGGCGGCTGCAGAACATCTTTGTCTAGAGGCATAGCTTCAAAAAATGCTGCCAGCCACTAGCTCCTTCTTCAGAAAGGCGGGTTGTTGAAGGGGGTTGCCGAGTCAAATGGCAGAACAAAAAAGGTTTAAGGATTGGAGTGCAGGTGTGGATGGCCGAAACAAAGCGATGCCTCCCACTGACGAAGATCAGGTTGTAGCATGTGTGGCTGAGGTCGATGACCTCCTGCTGCGGCACTCTACTTCTTGCCAGCTGCACAGCTAAGCCGGAGGTGTGATGCTCGAGGCAGCCTCCTGTGGCTGCGAGTCCACCAGCGGAACCCTGCAGGAAAGGCAGATCCGCACGGTGCTGTGAAGATGCACTCGGCACACATGGCACGACACTACCTGGCCTCACCGAGTTTGCATTGGAAGAAGCTGCCGGATCTGAGGCAAGAGATTCTTGCTCGGAGTGCGAATCGCGAAACCGCATCTCGCTAAGGTCTGAGGATGCTGCTCTTGACATAACTCAGTTCCAGGTCTTGCCAGGAGTGTCTAGCAGCCATGTCCTCGGGGTGTCGCATTGCAACCACGCGGCCAAAAAATTACCCTCGTCCGGTTCCCAAGGGCCCAGGCCACGTACTCTGCCTTAGGCGAGCCGTCTAAGTTGTCGATGTCCTCTGAAAAAAATTCGAACATACACGGCATGCTCGGAAGAGTCCAGGAATCTCACCGTTGGTTCGAAACGAACATTGCAGAGCGGCTTCGGCTAGCGCCGTGCACGAAGCAACAGAAAACTCCTGGCCTCCAGGTCCGCCATGTCGGATTCTGTCGAAGCCCTTCACAAACGACCCGCAACCGAAAAGGCAACAACGTACCGAGCTGGCACCTGTAGCAACGGCCGTGAGCATCCCATGGCACAGATCTAGAGGAAGTCCAGGGCTGCAGCTCGTTGACGTCTTGCTCGTGAAACATCGAATGTTCCAGCTCTCGGTTAAGTGTCTGGCACAGTGATAGTGATGGCTTGGTGTGCCCACTTCCTGGTGAACCGTGTGTCTTTCCAGCCGCAGGTGCCACAGGCAGGTCATCGGGTTCTGCTGGGGACTGCTACAGCAGGGAAGTGAGCGAGGTGCGAGCTGCGCGCAGCGCAGCAACATGCACTGCGCGGCCAGGACTCCACAAGTGCCGGGATTGTTGCTGTCACCGTCTGCCCTGCGGTACGGCATATGGCATGTTGGTGCTCGGACACAGCAAAGATGCATTCCTCTTGTTTTTGGTCTTGAGGTAAAATAGCATATCAGCAAATCATCTTTTGCATAGCTGAGACGTTCGGCCTTGTGTTGAGGATAACAGGAGAACCTTGTAACGATCCTCAAAAAACTAGCTCCAGGCAGCAATACAGGGTACGCTACATCGCACTTGTTTGTTGGATGAAGGCATCGTCATGGATGGTCAACAGATCTATCTGCTTGCATCATCTACTGTAACTGCGGAGCTCACCTGGCAAGCGTGCAGTTTCAATCCGGTCGTGTCTAAGTTTACGCTGCCGCTATACGTGTGCACACAGTTGGCGGTATCTCGGATCCACATACAGGTCACATGACTGAACGACGACGTGCACGAACGCTCGCGGCTCGCGGTTGACATGCTCACAAGCACTTCTGTCCAGATGGAAACCTTTCCGATTGCCTTAATTAGGTGCAAGAGATCCTTGAGTTAAATGTGATTTTGGATGCTTCTTCCGTGGCGGGTCTTAGTCCTGACTCTGCAGGACGGTCCGTGACGCTGTGAGACCACAAACGATGCCCTGTTCGCGCTCGCTCTTGCGTCGGTCCTGCCTTTTGTGAGAGGGACCAGTCCAGAGCTTGACCCCAGCAACATTGATTCGCAGCTTGTCAATCCTCAGCAGAAAACAGGACACCGGAACACGAGTGACAGACTACCTTTGGCCCATCAGTCGTCTTCGACAATGACGTTTTTCAAGATGTCGTGCGCCAGCAGCCGTGTGGCATCTGGCCTTGCATTCCAAGCACAAGTAAGCAAAAGCACGAAAGCGGAAGCAATCGCAAACTGCCTGGCCTGTCGGCTGGATCTCTGCGTGTGCACAGACGGATGAAGTCCTGGCCTGGGAAAAGGGACGGCAGTGAACCTCCGTCAGAAAGCTGAAGCCGTCTGAGCCGGCCACATGCAGGCGAGACCCCCTCTGGGATGGGTGGCCTTGCAAGATCGAGTCTTCCCAGGCTTCCCTTTTCCCTCTCGCTGGAAGCAGGACTATCTGAGAAGCAAACGTTGCATCCGACATCGCGATTTTGCACATGGCGGCCTCATTGTCAGGATTCACCCTTCCCTTGAAATCCCCCCATCCTGATGTGTCTTCCCTCAAGTTTCGTACCGCGAGACGAAGGGTGCGCAGGATGCAACATGACAGCTTTTCTGTTTCTCAAAGCGTCGTCGGCTGAAAAGCTGCGCAGACGAGAACAAGTCCAGTGAATGAGGTCGAAGCCATGGGATTGTCGAAAGAGCCCCAGGGACTCTTGGCCGTGGCCATCTCAATCACAACCTTACGTGTCGTTCAGAGTGTTCAGGCCTGTCCATATCAACCCATGCTTGCAGAGTCAGCAGTCGTCAGCTGGAGGAGTTGGCAAGCGATATAAGCTCTCGCCAATTTAAACTCGCAAATCGCAGCAAGGTGTGCGACATCGGCATGAGCAGGAAAGCAGGACTTGGCTTGAGGCACACCCGAAGCTCCAAATGTCAGCCTTTCGTCCATAGCCCGTGTTCTTGATGACCTGCGACATGCAAGGCAAGCGCCATGTGCAGGACTTCGCTTCTTGCAGATTCTGGAACCGGTGCCTTGGGACCCTTGCAACGAAATCCCGGGTTTGAACTGTTAAGTCAGTTTCCGTCGGTGGCACCAGGTGTGTCGCCGTGTGGAGAGATCTGCAAAGTCCGATCGCGGGCTGGTGCTGTTGAATATTGCATTGATGGTCGAGTAGATCTTCGAGCCTCGGGCGCCATCCAGGGAATGGAACCCCGCATGGTGTGTGACCTCAGCTTTTTGACACTGCTGCGGACCGAATCTGTTTCTCCTCTGTCCCGTCTCGGAGTTCGGAGAGTTCGGAGTCCGAGAGGCATCGTGTCGTTGTCGCGCTTCGAGCAACCGAAATCGCTCAGCTTGGCGTGGCAGTCCAAATCGACGAGAACGTTGGCGCCTGAGACACGACAAATGGCCGTAAGTGCGCCTTCGGATGCTGTTCGGGCGACTTGCAGGATCACGAGCCCTGCGTGCCTATGCGGAAGACAGCTCATGCAATAGCAGACGAGCCCATACTGGGAGCGAGAGCCGTCCCGATAATACAGCATATGCTAAGTAAGCAAACGTAGAGTGCGGTCTTGGGGCAGTTTGTCATGCACATGACACACTCAATCATCGTAGGCACAAGTTAATTGGTATGTGTATCGTAAGTGATTAGTCTGTGCATGTACATCATCAGTATGTGCGCATTGCGCATACCTAAGCGCTTGGCGTCTGTGCAGACTTACATGCAGAAATACATGTACACTGCTACTCACCTCTAGCTAGTCAGGCATGTATCTAAATCCAAAACTGCATCCCTCACATATGATTCCGTAACCACAGCAAAAGTCAATTTAGCGGGTCTCAGCATTTACAGTATGTTGAACTATCGGCCTACAGGCTGCGAGTGCTCATTGTTGACATTCACGTTAGGTGTTGCTAATTGGCACTGTATGGCACTGGACGACTTCCGTCCCGCCTAGCTGCGTGATACTCAGTTACCTATGCACATACCGATCCACATACATGCATGCAAGGACACGCAGAGACACACGAAGACAGGCTTAGATTTACAAGTGGATGGAGCGGAGATGTACCGATAGATAGACACAAGGATGGGTGGACAGTCTGCATGTTTCCTTGGCAGAGAGACTTTTTGTTGGGCCTTGGTGTCGGCAGGATGCTTGGATGCCAGTAGTTACTACTGTCAATGCGGCAATCGATTCAAAACCGTGATGCTACGCATTCACAGATTGAAGTTTAAACGGGACCTTACCACAGAGTTGCTTTGACGTCCCTTGGCCTTGACAACAAGAGCAGCCATGAGGAAAGTCCGGTTGAGGCTTGCCTTTGATGTCCCGGTGCACGACAGGGGTCTCCCTCGTGTGCAGGTACTCCAACCTCAAGAAAGAGGACTGGACATCCGCTTCTCGAACATCGACCCATTAGCATCAAGTCTCCTACATTGAGTCCATCTATTGGGTTACATACATGTAGTTGTGTCGCGGCAGCCACCTCTTCAACGTTTTAGTTCCTGGCCCTTCCAACATCTCCCTCGTGTAGGCCTGGGAGCATTGAGGCCCTCATCAGTGACAGGCACCATCGTGGAGCAAATGTCGTGCGCGTCTGCGCTGCTGAACACTGTACACCCCCTGAGTTCTCGGGCCAGCAGCAAGGACTCTTCGAAGCAGCCGAACCTCAATGATTTGAAGCTCCGGATGCTTGCAGGGACCAGAAACAGGATGCTTCCAACTTCCTGCTAGCATTAGCTGCAGTGACATCTGAGCCTTGCGCTGCCGCAGAGCTTGCGCCAAGGAGCCACCTGCCAAGAAGCCCGTGTCCAGGGGGTAGGCCGCTGCGAATCAAAATCGTCGTAACTGCGAACCCTTGCTTCGGCTGCTTTGCGTGAGTTTGCGGAATATTCGAATCAACTGCCGCGCTGGCCTGCCATGAACTCCAAGTAGATGCACAGGGAGTCACCCTAGGCACTCGACACTCAGGCACATTTAAGCACAGGCATCCGTGCAAGGTGCTGCTGCAGAGCTGTATCGCGGCATGCGTGCACGAATAGCTTTTGTTTTTACCTGCATCATGTGAGCACCTGGCCATGTAATCATGGCCGAGGTAAGCGACTATTCGAGGATGTTTTAGCTCCTGCCGCCGAGAGGTTAGAGGCTGCTTCTGCACAGGGCAGCCAAAACCGGCCTTGGCTTGGTGAAGCCGTCACTCTCATCAAAAAGACTCAAAAGTGCTACAGTAGTCTGCCATTGTCTTCGAGCAAACATTCGGTTCTAGAAAGCCCGGAGCCTGTCCGCTGTTGGAGTGTCACGACTGCATGTTTTCAGCTTTTGCAGCCATTGTGGAGGGTTCAAGCGTTCATCTCCCTCCCTGCCCATCCGTTTCTGCGTGCAAGAGCAAGCAGAATTCACCTCAAGCAGTTCTGTCCCCCTTCTTCTGGTTCCGTAAGACAGCCTGTTTCCATCTACGAATCTCGAACGGGGAATTTGTTCTCAAGCCCAAGGCAGGATTCCGGCAGCCGATCGTCACTAGACAATGGCAAATGGCAAAGCAACCCCTTTGGCCAAGAAGGGTGAGTCTTGCCGCATAACTTCCGGTTTCTCGTCTAGCGTGCTGTAGCCGACGACGTAGCAGAAGCAGGCTGGTCCTTGACGATTTGGATCTCGTTCTCGAGCTGGTCCTTGAATTTCATGTCAGCAGAGTCGGAAGCGTTGATCACCACCTGCAGGCTGCAATGCGCGACATCATCGTTGCACTCGCAACTTTGGGTATGCCAGCAGGACAGAGCAGGAGACTACGGAGAATGACATCATGTATGAAGTTCGCTCTTGCTTCTTCCAGCGCCTCCTTTACCGCGAGGAGCTCGCCGGTTTGCTGGTCCATCGCTTGGTACACCGTGCCTGAACGCGGCGCATCCAAAGGAATTGCTGGCGACTCTTCCTGAAGCCTACAACAAGCACTCCTTCGGCAATTCAGCAGTAGCCAAGGACGCACGTGGACGTACTTTCAATCGTGCCTTGAGGTTCATCTAGAATCAGAACAATCTCTGACACAAATCCCTTCTTCCGTAAAGCCCGGCCTAAGGAGCCGCGGCCGATGGATTCTCCCCGGATCCAACGCCGGCCACCTCGCGGTTCATTGTAACATCAAGGTACTGAGTACTGCTTCTGACCATCCGACTGGTAGATTGGGCCCCCTGCTCGATGGACCTTTGATCACGGTGAAATGGCCAGTTCCTGAGTGTGTGCTGGTGGGCTGTGAAGAGGCTTCTGCTGGGACTTCGCGACGTGAGAATCGGATTTGGATATTTGGATGAGATCAGAATCTAGCGCAACTTTATTGGTGGTAGACAGGACCTGGAGAAGCACATCGTGTCAAGAAATGGGCCACTGCAGCTTCTGTTGGACGTGCTGCATTGTGACAACTGAGACAGAGACGCAGCGTCTCCTGTGCAACACCACCAAGTAAAGCAAGGAAATCCAGAGCATCTTTACCCAGACCGGCTTTGGGCAGACATGCTTCAACAGGCATCACACCAACGTTCAAACTGCATTAGGGCTGCATCGCCGTAAAAGACAGGCACCTCCATGTCGGCAAGGGACTTCTTGCCAGGACAAGGACTGAGCTGGGTGACCTCACAAGTAGGATCTGGAGCCGACCCGAAGGCTCCGCAGGCATCGTGCTTCAAGGCTCGAGCTATATGTACTCAGGCTGTCTAACCAATCCTATACATAGCCCTGGTCACGAGTCTTGAAACGGCAATGTTACTGTCTGAGCGCCGTGCCCCATGTGTACCAAAAGTGCACTCGAACCTTGGGCAGGATGAGGCTTGCTTCTGTTTCGAAGCGCCGAAGGAACAAGCGAAAAGACGCAAGCCGTCCCTGAGGCTGGGGGTGCGGCGGCGATGGTGCACTGTCGCCTCAAAAGATTTGAAGGGTGATCCCGGCTTCCGGTTCCTACTCTCCTTGTTGGGGTTCTGCGACTTCTTCCGCGACTTCTTGGCAATGGCCGGGCCGGGCCTGGAGCCGTCTCCGCCGGAACCTTCAGCTCCACAACGGAGCTCGGCCTCGGCTTCTGAGACAAACGAGCGCAGAGCCATCCCCCTTGGCCCATGGCGCCTTTCTCTCTCTCCTACATGTACCCCTGCTGCCTTTAGGACTGTGTAACTTCTGCGCACGCTGCATCACCCGTGGAGAAGACGGACCACTGCCAACTTCAAAGTCTATCCTTTTCTGCATCCATTTACATTCTGCCCAGATCGCTCTGGGGGGGAGGGACGGCGCTGTTAGGCCGTGTTCAAAGAGCCGTTGCGGATGTCGATGTGATCGTCATGCGTCGGGGGCGGCCAGGAGGACTCTTTGTAGGCTAACTCCTCGGCTGTCGGGTGGCCCCAGAAAAGGATGCTCCCATCCACGAGCATGGAGAACTTCTGCAAAGTGTAGCCAACGATGTCAAGATCGCTTTCGGGGCGGAGGATGCTGGTGCCATCGGGCCTTAAGTGGCCGCTGGCATCGTGGCCGAGGCCTTGGGTGGAGCAAACCTCCACGAAGTTCTGCGCTTCGCAGGATTCCCACATCAAGCACGAGGTCGTGGCAGAGAAGTTGAAAATTTTCGCACCCTCGATACCTGCACCCTCACATTTACTGCGAGAGCTCCAGCTGGCGGCCGTGCCTACGAAGGTCGGCTGGCAGAAGGCCTCATCATCCGAAGAGCCGCACATGCCTCACTGTCACCAAAACACAGAGCAAGCCACTTCTCCCGTCAAATTCGAAAGCTACATCTCAAGGCTCAAAGCAAACACAAGGAAAACACTTTTGCCATGCTCAGGAACTGATGTAGGAGATGGGGCGCTTTGCTTCGCACGTGAAGTCGACCAGATCCCCAGAGATAGGTGCAAAAGCCCGGAAGAGATCCGAGGCATGACAAGCTAGGTAGTTGGTAAACTGCCCTCCATTGCTGAAGCCAGTGGCAAAAACCTTGTTCATGTCTGCACAGGTATTCAGCTGCGCCCACATTAAGAGAGCCTGCACAAACCCTAAATCTTGCTGCATGTCCCGCCAGCCGCAGGCAGAGTCGTCCTTTTGATTAAGGTGCTTACCTTCCATGCAGCACTCGTCTTGACATTCGGGAGGACAACACGCTCCCACGCCGCTCATGCCATTGCTGCGAGATGTATTCGTACCAAACGGCAAGATGCCTAGCCAACCATATCTTGCGAGCTTCTTCGAGAGGCCCATCATAACATTCGTATACCACGGCGAGTCTGAGAAGCCGTGGAATGCTAGGACCAAAGGGACGCCACCCGGTGCAAAGTCTTCAGGCACAGACAGAAGGAACTGGCGCTGAAGATCAGGCAATTGAACCAAATGCAGACCTGGACCATAGGATGTGCAGGCTGCGTCTACTGAGTCTACTGTCCTCTCTCTTCCTTGCGTCTGGAGCAAGGCTTCCGTCTCCGGCCGCATGAGGCCGTGAGCTGAGCGCAGAATCAAAAGCCGCAGAATATGTGCAAGAGCAAGTCGCGAGGCTGGTGCCATTGGGGTGCTCGGCAGCCCAGCCTGTATGAAACACGGTTCGCTACAGAGTCGACTGGAGCCCGTGGCAGAAGCTCTGAAGCTGAGAGCAGGCTTTGCGACCTACGACTCTCCCCGCGGCTCTTTCAAAGCTCTGCCAGAAAGATGCGCAGACCCGACGTTCGGGGGCCCGGCGGAGCGGCCGAGATCGCCTCTGCATCAGCTCTGTCATTCTGTTGTTGTTCTAGCTCTTTCCGACATGTCAGCGCCTACATGGCTAGGTATGGCAGTGCATCTGCAGCCCAGCATCGACTTTATGCTGTGTCTTGAGTTCCCCAGTTCCGAGCTTTCATGGGAGGCCTCCGCGACAGCTGCCGGCTTGCTTGGCCGCCTCCGGTCCAAGTCCGCGGGTTTCATCTCGTTCGAATCGCAGTCGCCCCAGTCTTTTCCTTTTCCGTGTGCAGTCTCTGTACCTCGCTGCATGCCGGAAGCCTCAGCCTTCGATGCTCCCTTCGGGAGAGCACGATCTACGGGAACTTGCCAAGCGCAAAGCTCAAGCTGAGCGAACGGCGCCAAGGGCGCTGTGATGTCAAAACTAATCCAAGTGCTTCTGCAGGCCGATCCACGACCCTTTCCAGGTCAAAGCTGCATGTGGCGTGCACATCGCAGATTCTACCAGCCGTGCTGTACTATCTACTTCTACGCACTTCAAACCCTAGCCCAGCTGGGCAAGAGCCGAAGCTGGTTTCGAAAAGGAAGTGCCCGCTGCTTTCGACAAGCCACTTCTCCTGGACATGGTGCACTCTGGCAAGCCGATGCCTCACAGAAGCGGCCTCCCTCGAAAGGCAAACACTAATATCGAAACACCTCACGCGTCAGGCAGTCCCTGCGGACTCCAGGAAGGCTATCTCTTTTGTGAGCTGATCACGAAGGGTCATCTTCTGTTGCAGCGCTGGTGTGCGCCCTGTCCAGATGCCCGTGGTCACCTGGAAGGAGTGCTCGCGCATCTAGAGCATGAGCACAAGCGGTTTCTTAGCAACTTTCTGTGAAGGGTGCAAGGGGATGCTGGTTAGTACTAAGCATGCAGCCAACCTGACGGTAGAAGATGCCGGACGCTACGAATGTCGCCTGCTGGGCAGTGGTCAGAGACGTGCCCAGATCCTGCCAGTCTCAGAACTGGTTCCTAGGACCAGACAAGTCCGGATGCAAGAACTAACAGTAAGGCGCGGATGCCATCACCATTATTCTGCCGAAGACCGACAAAAGAAATCACGACAACGACGTTACGACACGGACGATGTTAAAGGCAACACCAGCTACTGCAACAACAACGGCGATGACGACAACACCCATCTCAACAAACACGACAGCAAGAGGACGGCGACGACAAACGACGGCATCAACAGCAACAAAAAGGAACCATCACAAACCTTTCGAAGCAACCTTCGTATCAGTATAGCAGCTAGGCCTCGAATCCTTGGCCTAGGAGCTTTGGCGGGGCGGGAGGGGGTGGGGGGGGTGCGGTGACGCTCCTGGAGTCGCTTGTCGCCTTCCTCGGCGCCCCCAGCGAGCCGCAGCTCGCTGCGCCGCTCGGCCATCTGCTCTTTCAAGCGGGTGACCTCGGAAGGAACTGAAAGGAACGGAAAGCGCACGTGATACAACTATAGCCATGCTGATGGTCCGGATGACTGTGACGGGTGTTGACTGCTATATGGCATTGTCCTTCTGTCCCGTATTTACACCCTTCTGCTGTCTCGGCTACTCGGTTTACGGCCGAGGATAGACTGCTCTTCTCAACCCCCTCACCCCTCATTGAGAAGCAGCTTCAGGCTGCTGCGTGATCGGCTCCGCCCTTTCGACTAGAAGCAACCCCCCCCCCCCCCTGGATGTCTCGCAGTCTCGCACCACCGCCACCGAGAAAGGTGTCTGCCGAGCAGCCAGGCGCTTTGCGTCCTCGAACTTGGCCTTGTTATCGAGGAAGCCCTGGATGGTCGGAGCCGCGAAGCCTTGGGGGTTCACGTGCTCATCTTGGCCCTCGGCTGTCATTCGCTCCACTTCCTCCGTAGTTGCCAGGAGCTGCTTGCGAAGGTCTGCGAGAGCCGCGGCTGCAGCTCCAGCTTTGTTTGAGCGGCATTTCGATGGGACCGATTTCGCTCGCATGTTGCTACTTCCCGCGGCATCTTTGCACACGGTCCCGAAGCGCATGGTGGATTGGGTCTCTGAGTCGTTGGATTGCTCAGCACGTAGTGCCAAGATCACGGTGACATGTGCAGCACAGCCAGTGAGTGGATCTTTCAGCAACTGAGTCAAAGCAGAGTCCCGGAAAGAGACATACTTGTCCCGGCGGGCCAGTGCTGCGATGACTCTGCCAAGAGCACTCAAGGAGCAGTTCACCGACCGTGCCTCATCGAAGCGAGTTCCCGGGATGTCCACTGTTACCCTTCCGGGTAAGTTGAAAGCTTTTGCACCCCCCGTGCTGTCCGCATTCACGCCACTCTTGCCGACCCGCTCTGAGCCAGCCAGATCCACGAAGACCAGGCGACCCTCGGAGAGATTACCCGTTGAGTCGATCAAGCGTAGGGTCAAGGTGATCATGCAATGCGACCGGCTGGATCGATGGTTCAGGGCATGCGACTGAGCCGATCGGGTGGCTTCCACAAGCCGCGCAACATGGACTACATCCATCGCAGAGTCAATCACCGTCTCTTTGGCTGTCGCTGAGATTCCAGGCAGTGTCTTTTCGCCGAGCCACTTCCCAGGAGGCAGCCACTTTCCATTCGCATCGTACTTCGCGGATTCATTATCTGGCCGATTGGAGGCAGCACGCACAGATGCCCCAGGAACCGCTACGTGGTGCCGCTCGTTGAGAAGATCGAACATTCGCTCCAAGTACACCTCCACTGCCGAGACCTTCAGCTGCGCTCTTTTCAGGAGCCCCTGACGCTCTAGGGCTCCAAGCGTTGCCACCGCCGCGTATGGGAAGAAACCCCAGGTCTGAGGAGAGCCTCCGCTTTGGTTGTAGTCATGCTCCGTGAGCACACCAGGCGGGCCAAAAATCGTATGAGTCTTGCCGCTGCCAGTCTGGCCATATGCCAGAAAAACGGCGCTGAAACCAGGCTCCTGCAGAAACCTGTCCAATTGAGGCTCCAGGATGGACTGAAGCACCTCTTGCTGGCTCGTGTCAGGTCCAAAAACCGTATCTGCAGCAGCTTTGGACTTCAAATCCTCCAAGGTCCAGTTGCTGGATTCCGTCTCACCCGCTGCGCACGGCCGCCGTCGCACACAAATCTTCATGCAAAGTGATTGGAGTCTACTAAAAAAATCGCTGGCTTTCGTGGCTAAAGCTGCGGGTGCTGCAAGTCTTGGAGCTGGAGCTCAGGAGGAGGTTCAGGGAAAATCCTGAAAACAACAGCAATCGTTTTCTCTTTCGAGGACGAAGTGACTATGACTATGCTACTGAGACCCTGGAATTAGCTGTTCGAAGGTGTGTTGTGCTTCTCCCACGACCACGACGACTTCAGTCCGTGCATCAGACACGTGAATGCTGCTCCACATCGTGAGTGCTTGCTCAGAGCGGGCAAAGGCGTGCAGAACTAGCTCGAAGCCTTCCGGCTTCCTCGCCAGGCCGCGCCGAACCTGTCCGGGGAGATGCTCCTTCCGACAAGCTTGAATTTGCAGTCTCCGCGCAAGCCTGTGATTGCAGGCAGGCAGTTCTCTGCCACTGCATTTGGCTTCGGATTTGGGTTGGCGGGTAAGAACCGGTGTGCATGAAAGTGTGGCCTAAACCTGCCGCCACACACGATGAGCCTCCCTTACTCCATGAAAACAGGACAGGGACAGGGAGGCTCGGGAGTTCGACCTCGCCTGCAGTGGTCCCCACAGAGAGCGGGGGCAGATTGGCTGGGCGCAGCGGCTCCATTGGCACAGGCCGCAGGATGCCCTTGGCCCTCCGCCCTTCGGCGACTATTTTGCTCGAGTATAGTTTTGGTTGGGGTGCGGGGTTTCTGGGTTTTTGGCCTGGCTGAGAGGCACAGCGTCTTTGGGTTCGAGATTTGTGTGCTGGTGAAGACTGTGCTGAACCGCTGTGCTGCTCGAGGTATCGCTTCGTTGCAGCAGTGTTGCTTTCCACTTTGAAAAAACAACTCGAATCCCTGCAGCAATTTGTTGAGGCTTGCTTTCAGCTTAAGCTTCTCAGCACCTGCTGACTCAGACAGTCCTGCACGGATCGACCTTTTCTCTAGGTGTGAGCCAAGTGCTCGGCACCTCCGTGAAACTAAGGATCCAGCCGTGAAAAAGTAGGCTGAGATATCCCTTAAGCAGGCCAGCGACCGACGCTGCCAGGTTCAGGTCGTCCGGGATCAGAGAGACACAACTAAGCTCTCCTGATCATCCAGTCTGATCGAGTACATAGGCGATGAACGAACCTAGCCTGCGGTTATGTACAGAACCAAAAGCTACTTGTTAGCCTTTGGTGCTACATGCCACTGACTTAGCGGCTGCATGAGGCTGAGTGACTTGCTCCAGTGCCTAGCTTCGGAAGGAATTGGATTACAGGTGTGTGCCTATACTGTGTTGGCCGATCTCTCAGCCACCTGCCGACGAGCACCAGGCTTGATCTAGTTGTAGATATCCCTTGCAGCGGTCTCGCAACTTTGCGTGCGCGCATGAGGAGAGGTTCAGGCTCCCTCCATTGTGAACCTCAGTTTTTATTCCGATGCAGGATCACAGGCAACAAGCGACTTCAGCCACAGCCGTACTTACCATACTTGCAAACCACGGCGCTCGTGGGCACCCTCCTCCTCGCCGGGTTCAGCTCCGGTCGTTGGAGTCGCATCCTTCGATTCCGCGAGTTCTTCTGTCGAGAATGCCAGCAAAGCAGTGGCGGTGGCGTGTTAGTGCATGCGAAGCAGCCAGGCTGGTGAGGCGCAGCGATTCCACCAAGGGGCCTTTGCAGACACCCTAGTTTGAGCTTTGTTGTGCTGTTCTGCCTTGGGGTTCACCCTCGCCCACGGAGCTAACTACAAACAGTGCTTCCGGATGTGAGCAAGTCATTCAAGCTGCTACCTCCTCTTGATTTTGGAACGGGTTGACTATACGACCGACCTGTGGCATCTCCTGTCTGCAGCAGGGCTACTGAGAGCACTCTCATCCCGGATCCTTTGGTGGTGTTCCAGCCTGCAAGGAGCAGCCATAGGCCCAAGCTTTTTCTGCCGTGCAAAGATGCCTCATGTCCCCGGAGCGCTACATTGTGACCTGATCTCGCCTTGTTGGGTTGCTGCCAGCGAGTCCACCGGAGAGGCGCCAGGAGCCTGGCCCACACGAGAAGGCATGTTGTACTAAAGACAGACAGACAGACGGACGGACGGACGGACAGACACACAGACAGACAGATAGACAGACACGCAGACAAACAAATAGACAGACACACAGACACAGAGAGAGTGAACCGCCACGACAGATTCCGTGTTCGGCACCGCCACATTTCAATGCATTGTACGTGAACGTCAAAGGGCCGTTTGCAGAGTGACTATGACAATCTCCGGTTTCTGAAAACAGTCTGACGCACCACGAGAACGCTCTGAAACTTCCAATGCTGGACAGAACCCAGCACAGATCGCAAGATCTCGCGAGACAAGGCCACGGAAGCCTTTTATTCACGAAGACGTCCACAAGTTTGCCCGGGTGTACAAGGAAACGCTGTGTAGTTCGAGATTTGCCGGTGGTTGTACTTTTGGTACAAGAAGTTTGCCGCCCGTGAGCTGAGTCTTTGCAGCATGATTGTCCCGATTCTGGTCTGACTTCGGGGCCTTCGAGCAGGATTGCTTGTCCTGTTCCGCTGTGACTGACATACAGATTTCATAGTCTTCAGCGTAGGCTGTGTGGATACCGATGCGCAGGTCTACCATCTAATCAGATTTCTGAGGTTTTGGTCTCTGGTTGCCTGCATCTGCATATCTGTCTGAGATCGACCATGACACCTCCTGCATCTTCTGCGTTGTACTCGTATCTGTAGCGATTTTCCGCATTACCGGCATTCCCAGAAGCAGCTCCGAACCCATGCACCCCTGTGAGTTGTCGCGAAGAGCGGGTGCCTTGCCGACTCAGCGGCGGGGTGTTGGGCGGCCTGGAAGCATACTCAACTTGCTGCACATTGCCACGGCTTAGGCTGTAAGCTATTGGTGCTGTAATAAACGAAGTTGACATATCCTAGCAGGATCTCTGAATATCCCTTGAATGATCGGTATGATGCTTGCGACGGCGCCTAACGCTCAAGATCTCCATTTGCTTAGGCAGGCCATCGTGAGAAATCTCGATCCGGGGCTCCGACGAATTGTTGCGCGAGGCTATGGCGGAAGCTGTCGGCCTAGAGCGCAGTTTGCAGAAGAGCTCGCATGCACTAGCTTTTGATTTCACGTGCCCTGGGAACAAACGCGCGACCCCTGGCTGCAAGAGGTGGGATTGAGGAATTCAGCCCGAGAAGAACTTGGACCACGACGAGTGCGCAGCTCTTTGCTCGAGAAAGGTGTCGTGGTGCAAGTTCGACTCGTCCAACCTTTTCTGCACGCATTGGACGGCATCTTTCCGGTGACCGCACAGCGTTCCGAGTCTCGGACCAAGGTGTCCGCCAGGGCATCAGGCTCTTGCGGGTCAGGACCTGCAAGAGGAGCGCTTGGCAGCAAACCCCTCCCAAAGCCAAAGGAAGCAGAAAGACAACGACAAAGACAGTTTGCTCAAACTTTTACCATCTCATGCACACACGTTGCCCGGGAGTCGAGCGCCAATGGGTCTGTGTCCTTCCAAGGGCTTGACAGGAGCACCCCCATCTATGCAGCCTATGCCACATGCTGGCTCTGATCCCCCACAAGGCAAAAGCTATGCACCCCAGCTGTCAGTCAAAACCATCATGGGCGGTCCGCTGTCGACGACCACGACATGACGGAGGCCACATCGCGCAAACCTTTTCGGGGGATGTTTTTTTCAATATGGGAGCACAGGAGCAACTCTCTGATCTTCTCTGCCGCTCTGATTGGAGCACGCACGTCGTCGGAAACTCTTTCCAACGCAGGGTTTGGCCGTCTCTGAAAAATGGTGAACTCGTGCGTGTGCGGGGGTTGTGGACCAGCACAGGTGCGGCCTCAGACTGTCCTCCAGAACGTGAGAATGTGCACAAAGATGAGTTCCCGGCAGCATATGAGCGTGAACGATCGGTGTGGATGCCTGAAGCACCTCAGGTCTCAGAGCTTCAAAACCATCGATGACTGAGTACAGGATGGATGAATATGTCTATGCAGCCCTTCAGTGCAAGAAGTTCAACAGGCAGAGTGGAGATACAGTAGCTGATCAGCTTGTCGGCCGTAGGCTGCGAACAAACGGTGCGGAATCCATAACATCTTCGACGCCTGCAGACGGCACTGCAGTGGTGAAACACGTCAAATGGAAAGCACTTAAAACCCCCCCGGCCTAAGACCGTGTTGGTGTTGGCTGGAGGCAGCGCCAAGGGCAGTGCAGAGTCGCGGATGCTGCTGCCTCCACACTTGCATCAAACACGCGGTAGCTGTGTGGCAGAAAGCAAGGGATTTGCGGAGTAGCATATTCAACGCACTTCCACGACGACGTACATCATAGGAACGGTCCGATTCACTCTGCACCGGCGCATGTGACGTCATTAGGAGTGGGGACCTTTTGGGCCAAAGTGCCTCTCACTACTCTGTTTTCCATGGCAGGGGGATCGCAATCGGCTTGCTGAAAGCCCAGAAGACACACACGACGCACAAAGAAGGCGTGAGGAAGCAATTCGAAGAAGCGTTGCGCCTGAGCGTGGTCGTTGTGAGCTCTCTGTCGAAGCCTCAGCATACCGATGCTGGCATGGGGCGGGAGAGAGCCGAAGGTCGTCCGTCGAATCACCACCAAGCTCAAACCAAATAGGAACCGAACGCTGTGGTGGTTTTGCGCAAGCAGGCCCATCAGCGCCTGAGCACATCAATCCGCCGAAATCCCAAGCGGCACAGCACCCTTACGCCGTGTACATTGCAGCTACATGTCTCGACAGACGCAAAGTGCAATGCCTCTCGCGTGACGAGGCCGCAAAGCTGCCCAGCAGGTCCAGTCACCGGAAAGCCGTTCACCAGAGTTCTGGCGACAGGGTAAAGATGGACAATGCTTGCAAAACGCCTGTCTGCCCAATTAGAGTGACACATGAAATACGCTGAGGCCCTGCATGCAGCTAAGGCGCGTCTCGTCTCCAGGCAGTCGTCGCTGAACCCTGAGCTCATTTCGAGATGCTGGCATCATCCCTTGTACTGTTTGATGCCTTACTGACGGGGGGCTGCTCTCGTAAGCTCTGGGCACTTCTGTGATCTCGTTCTCTGTGGCTGTCCTCCGCCATGCAATGACGAAAAGTCTTGATTCACCCGCTCATGCTTTCGTTGATTTCTTGTTCAGGCCCGAAATCAGGTGATGAGCAGGGTTTCAAGCAGTGGGCCTCGAAATTGAAATGATCTCCGGGAACTCGCCTAGGCCCGGCGTATGGCAGGGTCGGTGGACGAGCAAACAGTGCATTTGCAATGCCGCTGATTCGTAGGCTCTGACGCACTTCCGGATGGTCGTCGGCATCACGAGTGAAGGTCCGGAGCTGTTCACTGCCGCCAGCACTTGGCCTCCCAAAAATCAGGACTGCATGTGAGCAGCCTATAGTTCTGCTGAGGCTACTGCGCATTTGCAACCTGCCGCTGTGTGCCTCAGTCAGAGCAACTGCTTTGACGCTAGGCGAGATGTGACGTTCACACGAATTTGCCCTGGCAGAGGTGTCGTAGCTTCCAGGGTCGGGGCGCGCTTCTTCCCAAAGCAAGGCTTCGACCGTGTAGTGGCCTTTGCCATGCTCTTGCAAGCCGAAGCCAGGAAGCCAGGGCCGGCCCGTGCAGCCGTGCACGGCCCGTGCCTTGTCGCCAGTGGGCTGCTTCCGCGAGGAAAGGCAAGGACTGGACGTTCATGAGCTCGTGGTAGAGGCCTCTTTTGGTGCTGCTAGCTCTCAGGATGCTCAAGTAGGACAGTGGAGAAACTTGCTGCAGCTCCCCAGGCCCCAAGCCCCTAAGCCCTGAGGCCAGCACCATGTGACTTCAGAAGCCTTAGACGAGGACAGGCCCACTTCGGGGGACGAGCCACTGAGCTGCCCTCAAGGGCTTCTCTTCTTCACCGGACCAGATTGAAAGGCCCATACAGGTATGGCACGAGCATCCGCACATCGTGTGCAGGAAGTGGTACCCCTATGGCTATCTAGACAACCCAGACCCGGGAACAGCAAACCCAAAGAGCATAACTCGCAAACCGGAATACCCTCATCTGTTTCCCGCTGCCTATCCCAATGCTTGCACCCTTTGTCGAATCATGACCCCCATCCAAAACCGCAAGCGCAGACTCCAATCCCTGAGTGACCTGGTACAACACCTTACCGATAACCACTTGAAATGGAGCAGACTTGCACTCGTCTGCACCAAGCACAAGCCAAACACCCCCTGGACCGCCAACACTGATGGTGGACACACGCTAACTCCGAGCAGCGATGTAGTGCTGCGTGCTGCCAAGACCGAGATCAAGATCACCGGGATCATGAAGGGCCTCAACATCAATACCATGCAGCCGAGGTTTGTTGAAGCTTGTCTTGGCATTCTGTCAACCGCTCGGGCATGCTTGGTACCCAGCTCTAGGGACACCTCCAACAGCAGCACCAAGACCTTCGTGCAATCAAGCAGAGCTTCGTGAAGTTGTGGTGCATGCTGTCTTGAACTTATGTGCATAGTTTTCACATACACACACACACAATACGACACCAACCACAGTGGACGAATGGACATAATATGCACCGTCTGTGTCCCTATGTATACGTGTTTTTACATACAGGCATTCGTACATACACGTGTGCATACGCGTACCTGCATGCATGAAGAACCGTATGCACATGCACAGCGAGTTTTCACCAATGCTTGGCTTGCTATGATGTAGACGACGACTATCAAAATACTGCTTGTGCGCAGCAGTACCAGCAGCAGCACCAGCAGCAGCACCCCCAGCAAGCAGCAGAAGCACCAACACCCACCACCACCAAGACTGCACGACAAGGAGGAAGAAGGAAGTGGAATAAGTGAAGAAGAAGAAGAAGTAGTAGTAGTAGCAGCAGCAGCAGTAGTAGCAGTAGTAGTAGCAGGGGGAGGAGGAGGACTTGCACGGCAAACTCAGGAAGGTCGATCTTTTCGATTCAAGTCGTGCGGTCTTGCCGCGGTCACGGGCCAGACTTAGGCCCAGGCACGGTCGTGCTTGACGTTAACACTTAACAGAACACCCTGGATGCTGCGCGCTGCAGCTCATGAATCCCGTTGCCAGCCCCTGGCATGATCTGCCATGCCAAGGCATGCCCTCCGTCGCGACCATGCATAACAAGGACTCCCGTTCGCCTCCGAGCCCATGCCGTTGGAAACCGCACATGGCGTAGCTGTACTGGAAGGGGACATCAAAGAGTCCGACTTCCGACCATCAAGATGACAGATACCAATCGCGAACAAGCTGCAGGAATTTGAACACTTCTGTTGCCACCTCCTGATTGTCCAGGTTCTTGTCTGGATGCCACGCTAAGCACTGCGCCTTGTAATGCGACCTCTTCTCTGCAGCCGCAAGCTGGCGTGTGTTACAGAGATCCTGGAAAAGCACTCCTGCCTCCCTTTTCGCAGTAGGCAAGGCGGGCCAGGATGCACCCGCCGGGAGCTCGAAATTTTCAGGGCGTGCTGCGCCCGGCTCCGGTGGCTCCGGCTTCGTCTCTCTGTCAGCTCCTGTAGGCCCCCTGGGCCTGGCTCTGGGTCCTCCGCTGGGTTCCTTGCGTTCGGATGTGTCGCCGGGCTGTTTGCCCAGGCTGAAACGCTTCTTCTCTGGGACACTCCTAGCTTTGGGGTGAGCCTGACGGGGTTCCGTCGTGGCCTTGGATGTTGCCTCCTCTTTCCTCGCATTTTCAGGCTCCTTCAGCTTTTCCGGCTCGTCCTGTCCGGCATACGGTTGAGGCACTTCAGCATAGTGGGTCCCGACTGGTTTTACGCGAATATGTCGCTTGTTCCCTGTCGAGAGGTTGATCTGAACCATTCTTGGGAAGTTGATCTCGTACTCGAGACCCCAAGCTGCGTATCGAATGAAGTCCTGACCATGCATCCAAGCTCGCACGATGTGCTGCTCCTCCTCCTCTTCGAAGTCTGCCCAGAGCCCGTCCTTCAGCTCCCACTGATATCTCGTCCGAGCTCCGTCATGGGCTCCCGCTCCGACTTGAGAGCCCGCTGCCGGACCTGGTGCCAAGGCTGTCTGATCCCAGCGGAGCTGTTGGGCCTTGCCCGTCTTGCGGTTGGTCTGGAGCAACGTGCGGAAGTCCACGTCGTAGCTCGCGTCCTCGCTGGGCCGGGCACCACGCACGGAATAGAGCACCACCAGCTGGCCTGAATGGCAGGCCTCCGTCAGAGTCATGTTCACATCCGAAGAGACAGTCTCCCAAAGCCCCGGGGAAACCTCCATCTGCCAGGCTCCCCGGGCTGTGGCGGCAGACCTGTCTAGGTCTGGAGCTTCTGGGATGCTCGTGGTGGCTTGCTCCTTGTGGAAGACAGCCTCCGTACCTTCTTGGCCCAGCTCAGGCTCGCGGACCTCCTCGCGAAACGCTGCTTCCTCCAGACCAGCACGATGAAGCGCTGCATCTTCGTGCTCTGCGTACTTCTTCGAGGAGGCGCCGCAGCCCATCGCGTCTCAGTCTCACATGTGGGAGGTGTCGCGGCCGTCGCTCGTCGAAGGGGAGGAGGGAGGATTGCTAGCTATAGCTTGTGAGCAGCTTAAGTGGCAGCCGCGGGTGAACTTTGAATAAAGCGCTGCGGAGGAGAGGAGCGCCGCGGAGCGGAGCGCGCCGCCCAGATGCGGCCAGGCTGCCCTCGTAATCCGCGACTCCACTCCGGCTGAGGTGAGGGCAAACATCACGAGGGAGCCACTGCCGCTCAGGAAGGCGGCGCAACCTCAACGGCACGGCGCGTTTTTCGAGACTTCAATCGAAGAATCATCAATGTTTTCGAGACCCGGTTTAAGTGCTGTCTGCAATCTGCTCGGACCGATGCCTGCGAAGGCCAGGATGCCCGGCCTCGAGCATGCAGGGCATGTGAATCAAAGGCAGCTTCCGCAGTCTCCGGCCCTGACTACGATGTGTGGCAACCAGCAAACATCCGAACGTCGTGTTGACTTCAACTCAGCTCTGCTCTCGACGTCCACGGTTGCGGACTTGGGATGCCAGAAGTCCTCTGATTAGTGCAGCTTTATGTCTAAAGCGAGCGTCTCAGCAGGAACCTCCCAACAGTCCGGGAACAGCAAGGCTGGGCGCGCGGCCAGGAGCTGCTGAATCTCGGGGATCCACGGGATGGCAGGGGGCGGCCATCTGACGACAGGAGTCAGAGTCAGAAAGCTGCGAGAAAGGGAAGTCTTGGAAAATGCTCGTGAACCCACTGTGAGCCCGTGAGCGCCACACACTCCGGCTCCCGTCGTTAATCCAAGCATCCAGTGCCTTAGCAGAGACATTCCACTGCCAAGACTCCGTGCGCTGTCCCGCAAGTCACCAAGCGCAAAGAACCAACCCGGCTGAGGTCGAAGCCAGCACATGCCGTAGAGTCGACCTCGTGGCATCGAGATCGACTTTCACCCGCTGCCCCAAGATCAAGTCGCGGCACTCGCAATACTTACTTCACTAGACATGCAGCAAACATCCTGTTCCAAAGCAGTATCCATACACTGCTGCTTGGATCCCAGATGATCTGTGTCAATTGCTAGGTTGTCGAGGGCTTCAAAGCCAAGCCAATGTGCTTGTAGCTAGACTGCAGCTTAGACTTGTGTTATCAATCTCTCAAACAGAAACAAACCATTGAAAGCTTCCAACTGAAACGGCACCGGGCACCGTGTTGCCTCTGAGTCTCGGGCCCGCGGCCGCACCGATGCACATCATCGGAACAAGCAGACCTCCCGGCCTGCAGAGCTCTGCGAGGCCTACGAGTCCCCGCGACGTCGGCTTCCGATCGCGATCCGTCAATGCGCGTAGAAAAAGACTGAAGATTGCTAAGCCCCAATGTGCCCTTCTGTGAGCAGGACCGTACAAGTCTCTGTAAGATCACTGCATCCAGGCGGTGGCGCTGCAGGCTGCCAGGACGAAGAAAACTCAGTTCGGACGGTCGCATGTATAAAAGAACATTGCATGACTCTCTCGTGACTGCGTGTGGTGGATTCGACAAGATATTATGATATTCGAGGCCCCCAGCAAACCAAGAACAACAGCACGGTGGACAGGGGCAGCACCATGGGCCTGAGTACAACATCTTCCACAGCGAATTCTCAGCCACCCCAGATTTCAACAACCCTTTTCGAAGGCTGCAAGCTCCGCGAGCTCGCCAAGCTAAGCTGGTGGCGCACCACGCACCAACAGATTTCGCACCACATGCGTCGGCGCCACAAGCGTCAGAGCCGCCCCTGGGCCTGTGGAGAAACCGAAAGCATCATGCCACTCTTGCGAAAGCATCTGGAAACCCTTGCTGGCAGCTGACTGTAGTAGTTCATCATGATCTTGTTCTCTTCGTTCCAATCTCAGCAAGCAGCAAGTTCCCCAGGAACATGCAAGCAAGATCATCAAAGAGGTGCTTGGGTGCTCTGAGACCTTGGCTCAAGCTGTCACAGGAGGCCGCAGGCCAGTTCTGCCCTTGGCACGGCTGACAGTCCTCTGCACACAGGAAAATTCTGAAGTGGCTCGGCTCCCGACCCATATCCAAGGGCGCCCATGGCCGAGTGGAGTTGAAAAACCTCTGGGCATTGTGAACTATAGGACTCCGGACAGCTCGCTGTCGGAGTCAAGGGAGCCGCTTAAAGCTAGGGCTACCGGTTCATACTTAGCTATGGAAGCTGCGCGAAGCAAGACCACACCGAGGTCGAAGCTTTCCTGCTTGCAGCTCCACTTGTGTCCGAAATCCGCAACAGTATTCGTTCGGCCTTGGGAGCTTCAAAGCAGGTCGCAACAACCCATGTGTCCTCGAGTGTTGGTGCTGCTGAGAAGGAGAGCCGTTTCGTGTGAACCATCTCCTCAATGCCTGAGATGCTGCAATGCTCGCAATGCTGTGTGCTGCCGGGCTTGGCAGCTCCGCGCAACACCAGGCCAGCCAGGGCACCCTTGACACTGCAGTTCGGATTGAGCAGAATCGCATCGGGACCTTGCCGAAGCTACAACTTAGTCAAATGTGAGCAACTGGCGGGCGATGTAAACTAATGCGATGGGGACCGCGCAGCTCAGCGGATCATATTGGATGCCGAAGAGACCTGGATGTGGCACCTCCGTAGATTCAGAAAGGGTGCAGTAGTGTGCCTTGGCTCTAAGAAGGTTCTGCAGTCATAGGCCGCAGACATAACTCATGGTGCGGTTCATCGGATTGTCGTCGCGCACCTGCAGAGGCTTGCGAGGTGCCGCTCTTTCTCTGCCTTGGATGGTGGCTTGCCCCTCGCGAAGGTCGTTGCAAAAGCATCCCGTTGACACAAACTGCGCTCCCAAGGGAACCGATGACTTAGCCAGCGGCTGGAATTGACTGGATTGTTCCCAACTCAGAATATCCAACTTCAGTCCCTGATTCATCAATAAAGTTGGAGGGATGCTTGCAAACAGCTTGGCAGCTTAGACAATGATGCGTGGGCGTTCAAAACTGTGCAACTACCACTTCGAAGGTAGACTGTTTCTTGTCACGGGCAGTGCATCTAGTGTAGCTATGCAGAACATCGGCAACGGCAAATGCACACCACCGAAGCACGTCAAACAGTCACACGAAACAATCCACCAAGGCAGATCAACGGGCAAGAATACCGGCATTCGTCGGTTCATCTCACGCTTCCAGAACTCTACACATTGTACTTGTATCCAGAAGGAGACCTCCATCTGCCGGCGGGCAGATGTGTATGTGTGTACGTATGCGTGTGTGTGTATGCATGCATGTATGTGGCTAGGTGGGTAGTCAGGTCAGGTTCGGATAGGTAGGTAGGCAGTAGGCAGGTATGTCAAGGCACCTTTGTTATTTCCGCGTCTGTCTCACCTCTCTGTGGAAGCCCCACTTCCACGTGAGCCGCACCTCTGGGTTGATGCGGCTGGAATTCACCGTGCGGGAGCCAGTGACCAACTGGTGGAGCCAGTCCTTGCGAAGAGGAATTAGGTCAAATGTCTGATCCGATACTCTTGCCCTGGTGGGCGCATGCTCGTGGTGCAAGCCATGACCCATCAGCTAATGCAAAGCGAAAAAGCTTCATAGCCAACACACTTCAATGTGACAAAGAAGACTGCACACTTGCTCTCTGATGCCATTGGAGGCATGGGCACGTGCACATTTGCATCCACATCATGGGTGCATGCAGTCCTCCAGAATGCAGCCGCTGCTGCCGTGGAAAGCATTCTGAAGGCTGGACTCGGTGCCTGATTCAGAGGGCGACACTGATCATGACTGGCTAGGACTAGGTAGGAAGCCAATTCCAGCTACCTCTGTTGCTCACACGGACTACAAAGTCTAGGAAGCAGCACAATGCGAAATGTCGTTGTTTGCTCGCTTTAGTCGGACTTCCGCGACTGAGCTTCGGGCAAGGTTGCGAGTGCGGTAAGCAGATCGCGAAGGCCTTGCACACGGAAGACTTGACTCATCCAGATCTCCACGAAAACGTCTCTGAAACTGCCGAGCAAACTTGCCGAGGAGACCCCACAGCACGCGCCAACCTCAGTCAGGGATGAGCGGCAACATGGGAGAAATCTGCAAACGTTGGGACTGAGCTCCATGGCAAGGAGGGAGAAGACGAACCGGCGCAGGAACAGCGCACGGCCGCGGCCCAAACGCTGTGCCTCTTTCTTGTTCACAAGCAAAAACTTCATGTGGCCTGTGCGACTAAGGAGAGTAAAAAGCCTCAGACAAACACCAGGGGCACGTTGATGGGCGCACAGTTCAGGGCATGCCTCAAGCATGAAGTAGACGCTCAGCTTGACGACCTAAGATGACACAACTTCGGCATACACTGGCGCGCAAGCATGCGCAACTCTGTCTCAATGTGCTGTCATGTCGTCTACGTGTCATCACGAAGCGAACGGTGAGCCATGCTCGTGCAGCCCCTGGCTGTGATGCGGCGCAGCGCGGTGCATCGTAAAGTAGTGCAAAATGCAGAAAGCATCGACTACCACCCGCTACAACAACAAGGTCACCAAGTTTTTGAGTCCTTGCCTGACAAAAGAGACACTTTCGGGTCGAGGCACCAGTCGATTGAAGAGAATTGCCAGCAATCCGCAAAGCACTCCAACTACCTCGGACCCGACGAGACGACAGAGCTGTGTTGTGCCCGTCTCCCAGGCTCTTCATAGATGATCCTGCTCTTGAGTGTCCCTGAGCGTCGCACCGCGACATGGACTGGCATCCAGCTGTAGCGGACCCAGGATTGCCATGACGATTTCCGCAGACAGGCTGGCAGGCCAAAACCCGACAGTAGTTGTATGTGAACTCCGCGCAGGTAGCTCATGACAGCGATGGTGGGCATCATGCAACTCTGCCAGTGAACAAGCTTCTTGGATGCAGATCGATCTTGCCTGCAGTCCGCTCGTATATAGACCTTAAAGGGGGCTGCTTCTTGAACAGGAGGGAAGGAGAGGGAGAGAGAGCGAGAGAGAGAGAGAGAGAGGGAGAGACTGCATGTCTCTCTGTCCTATGCAACCAAGAGCTTGCCGACAGGCAAGCAGCAACCTGTGTTTCCTCCACGCAATCTGGGCGGCCCACTCACCGGGCAAGCCCATCAAATCGGAAAGCCCGTTCGACGTCAACTTAGCTGGTTGGGTGCCAGCAGCTATCAGCAGATCCGGGTGACTCGAGAAATTTCGCGAACTGTTTGGTCACCTCAAATTTCAGAAGGTTTGTTGCGTCCGTAGTTGGGCGGGCTTGCATCCGTGCTGCTGCAGCCAAGAGGCAACCGCAAAAGCGCAGCTGATGAAGGAGTGGAGCAACCTGGCAGCGTTCGGATGGCTTCTTATGCTACCTCGATGCAGACTGCTTGCAGGGTATGCAGCATATAGCGCGAACAAGCAGAAAGGATGGTTGCTCGTGGTCCTCCGGAGGAGTCTCCGAACGGGCCGCGACCCGCTTTTTATGGCGAATCTAGTGTCTGTGCGCAAGACAAGATTCGGAGCAGACATCCAGAAATGCTCCAGCCTGTGGCTCCTGGGAGCTGCTAGGCAACCCGCTTCAACTTTGTCTCATCAAAATCCGCCAGGCGTTTTGGTGGTTACCTCAGGTACCCTCCACCTAAGCAACCCGAAATGATTGGTGACACCCTGTTTTTGCGTTCGTTTGCCACCCCCTTGCTCGGCTTCCCCTCATTTTACCTGATTTGTCGGCCTCCTCCAAACCCTCCCCCCCTCCCCCCCTCCCTCCCCCCCCCTTCACCCACCCCCCCCTACCCCCCCCCCCCCCCCCCCCCCCCTCCCCCCCCTCCCCCTCCCTCCTGTGCCCGTTTTCCTGGCACTTCGTATCAACAACCGTGTAAAGCTTGGGGTTTGACAGACCGCCCTAGCATAAAGAAACATCGATCGCCCTGCCGCTACACAGCCGAGGCGGGCGGCGTAGCGGTCTCATCAAAATTACAGGCCAGCCGTGCAGGCGCTTAGAGAAGAAGGAAGCTGCCTCCTCCACGACCTGGCAGATGGCAGAACCAAGCTACTTGTATGAGACACAGTCCAAGGGGCAGCCCGGGGCCCTGGCAAATACAGTTCCTGCTAACGGCCTGCAGCATGCAGCTGTATTAAGCTATATGCAGCTCCCAGCAAACGTCACGTTGTAACTCTTCTCACCTTTCGCATAGTTCTCGAGACGCTGAGGTTTTGGCGCGTTGAAGGCCGCAGCGATTCCCGCTCCGGCACCCATAACGGCCGCCTGCGCAACTCGCCAGCAAGTTTAGGAGGCTGCAGCAATTTCAACGGAAGGGTTCACACTGGGCTAGCCTGTACATGGTAGCGCAAGGGTTGTCGTGAGAGCTCATCCTCCACACGCCGGGACAGCGGTCCTTACCGCAGGTGCACTACCGCAGGCGGGCAGGTGCACTGTTCCAGCAACGTCCGAGAAAAGATTGCACGTATTAGAACTGCACACCAGCCCGACTTTGTTAGTACTGCTGCTCCGTTTCTCTTCTGCAAATGCTCGTCAACCCAGCTCGCCGTCACTGAGATCATGGCCGAAACGGCGCAGTGCCGGTGCAACCATACGTCGACAAACCAGCATGCCCACGATGGCACCTCTCAGTGTGATCTCTCCGCCGCAGGTTTCAAACTAGCCACAAACATGACTGCAAAATCGAAAATCAAACCACTCGCCAGATCAATCCTCTGACCTTTGCTGCAAACAGGAAATGCAGCCCGCCTATGTGAACCATCGGACCTTCTGGCCCCACTGCCAGCCCACCACCTACGGAAAGGACCTGAGCAGCGACGAGGTGACCTCCTCTCTTTGTTGCCCCCCAGCTTGGAGTGTTATCTCGTCTCAGTTCCCAGACGGTGCCCAGCGCTTTGGCCACGAGGACCGGGCCACGCAGGGACTAGGAACAGGGCAGCGGCTGGTGACAAGTCTGTGTGTGTGTGTGTGTCACCCGACACCACCAAGCGCAACTCACACCTTACGAGTACAACGAGCTTACGATCTGAGGCATGGACGCTTTGCAGGTCAACGCCGTTCAAGAAGGCTAAGACCTGCAGCATGTGGACTGCAGTGTACTATGGTGTCGAGCCCTCAGGATTCGCGTCATCTGAAGCCCCTGCTCCTGGAATCCCCGAGCCGGAACTTTGTGGCACGAGGAGGACGCATACTGTCGCCTGCCAGCGGCAGAGTGAAGCGCGAGAGGCGGGGGGCCTAAAACCTGATGTGTCTTGTTCCAAGACGAAGTGTATGGCGTGCATGGGCCCGTCTAGGACTGTGCTGAGGATGGCTTGTCTAGCACTACTCGTAGGAAACATAGGTTGTGGCTGTACTCCATCCGTCAAGATGCGCCGGCCTCCGAGTTCGAAGGCCCAACTCCCAGACTGTCTGAGGCTCGTGCCAACAAGGCGAAGCCTGCAGTCGTACCCATTGCCTTAGCAAACAAAATTACGGGGTAAGCCGGAAAGGAACATACGCGCGCTCCGGCATATAGCGGAAGCTGCCATTGCTGCTGTAAGCATCTTCATCAAGAAACTCAGGCTGTGTCCACCGACACGGCTCCCGCGAACTCCCAGTCCCATGACCGCTTGCCTGCAAGCGTCTGCCCGTCTGCAGCGTCTGAACGCTCATCGCCGTGCCTTCCAAGAGATGGAGGAAAGCCTCCCGCCGCCGACCTCCGCCGGAAGAGCTACAAGTAATTAGCAACATTCCCGGAGTAGAAGCGTGCTTTGACCTCACACTACCTGTGGGACCTGTGCTCCATCAAGGGAAAGCTTGTGTCATCGTGCATCTTTCGATGTCATGCTGGGCCGCAGACCGCCCAGAAGTTCGCAGCCGTATCTCACAAGCACGGCCGCAATGCCCACGCTGATCCCGACCAGAACCTAAGATGTTCCGGTCCAAAGGCATCCAGGCATCATTGGCCACTGCAACGGATTCGAGAATGAATGCCAACGGCAAATTCTGGATGCATCCAAGCCGAGAGGCGTTTAAGAACTGCCGGAGTCTCCTTGATTGGAAGTAGAAACTTTGCAGGCGCCATGATGCACTCGTCACATGCACGCCAGATTCAAGCCTGCTTCTCTTGTCGTTCTACAGAGTAATGGCGGAAGTTGGACTTCAGTGCTCGACCGCATGTCATGGGCATACGGCCATTTTGGACGGAGACACTGGCGTGAAGGACAAAAGCCAAGACAAGAACTGCAAACAGCGAAAAACGATCAATCGGGGTTGAAGAGTGCGCCAGGGGTTGAAGGGGCCCAAGTTCGGGTAGCCCGCCAAGAATGCAGGGTTTGGTTGACCCCGAAATGTTTAGGGTTACGGCTCTAGGACACGGTTTAGGATTTAAGACAAGGGCTTCGTCATTGGTGTTGTTTGCTGCCAGCCTTATCTAACGGCTTAAGCAGCTTCATACGCAGTATGGATCTCGAAACGGTATTTGCAGCATTCAAGGAACATGTTCACAACATTCACGCAAGTGCAGCATTGGCCGTTTATCGAAGCAACCGATGCAAAGCACGACATGAACAGTGGCAAAGCGGAAGAGATCTTCACACATGAAACAGCTACATGCTTGCCCGTTGTTGAACAAATTCCGGCTGCTTGGGGCGACCGAGTGCTCCTTATGGCCCTAGGGCTTGGGCGGCTTCGGCCCTGGGGGTCTACCGCCGGCAGCCGACTCCGGGCGCCCAGAGCCGCGACGGATGACAGGAATGTGGAGGGTGGAAAAGAGCAAAGTGTAACAACTTCAAGCAAAAGCTTTGGTCGGGCGTCTTCGCGAGCTGCTCCTCTCGCCGGCCGGTCTCCAGGCCTCCAGTACAACGGGCTCTGCGAAACTCCCAGGGCGGTCAAAAGCTGTCCCGGACTGGGAACGTCACACTTTGACCTGGTCTCTGCAAGATGCCGCTCCTCACCAAGGCAGTGCAGGCAGATTGCCAAAACCCATCACGTGATGATTCGATGGCTTCGATTGACCTCGCTAGGGTCCTTGTGGTCGAAGGGCGCATGGAGCTGCAAGGAGTCCACCTGACAAGTGACCCGTCAAGCTGCATCAGGAAATCGCGGTCGCCGCGCTCGTTGTTGTAGTGGTGGTAACAGCAGCAACAGCGTGAGGAGGAGCAGGACTTGTAGTGGATGTATTGGTAGTATTCGATGTAGCTGGATCAACAGTGTCAAGAAAGGAAGCAAGATCACTGACAGTAGAACAGAAACCAAAAACAAACGTTAACACGATACTCAATGGACAAAGGAGCAACAAAGACGGCGAACAGGAGCGCATCATGACTCCTCGCATCCTTTCCCTTGCCCAGGCACCTTCCGGAAATTCTCGTAGCCTCAGGGAAAAGCCCTTCGCCCCCAAACAGTGTGGCTATGGGCGCAGGCGTGTTCCCGAGAGGCGGCTAAGCTCCCAGCTCAGCGGTCCCAGGTGATGTTTGTGACGGGCCTTTCCGACATGCTCTGATCACTGACTGCTATCCTGGAAAAACATGCGGCAGATGCACATCACATGAATCAGTTCATTTTGCAGAATCTTGCTGGGGCAATGGCCTTCCGCGCATGCGGAGTGTTTCCATTTTCACTCATCGCATGTAGGCGCACATGGGGGCTGCACCCGGGTGTGTCTCTTTTTGTGCTGTCTGGGGGCAAGTTCGAAGAACCTTCGCTGTGTGTGGTTATTATTGGGATGCACACGCTCTGACGTGGCAGCTTGAAACTTGAGCCGCGAGCTTCGTTGCTGTTGTGGGTATGCTTAACAACAAATGGAAATGACGACCTCTTGTAACTCACTTCAGTGATCACGAAATGTCATGCTTTCGCTGACACTCGATATGCTCAGAGTTTGGATCCATGTCGGGTCCGAAAAGGTATGTGTCCCGGAGTGTTTCAGAAACGACGAGTGCTGTCCCTGCAGATGTTGTGGAAACCGAACGGAGCGTGTTGAGACGTCAACGGCGAACCGTCAAGGCATACTGTGTGACAGCAATGGAATAGCACAAGGCCCAAAGCGAATTTCTGCTTGTGAAGGTGCGTGGACAAACGAGAGTGAAGTCGGTTACACTGCTAAGGCCGGGCTATGGCTAGAGGGCGGAGCAGGGGAAGTTAAGGCACTTAAAAACTTAGGCATTAGGGCGTTTTTTTGATTTTTCTGCGCTAAATCATCCAACATCAAAGCACCAACGGCCCCAGAACCAAAGTGCATCACAGTTTGCTGTCACCATCCTGCCCCCCAAGCATGAAGTACTTGGGGTACGCGTTCAAGGAAAGCCATGCTTGAAGGCAGGAACATTTCATGCACAGCATTTAATCGCAGGACACGCCAAGAACGCGGCTGAAGGCATACGACAACTTACCACACAATGCCGTGCGGCCTCGACCAGAAGCCGAAGCCGGAACGGCGCCACAGCCAGTGCCGTGGCTGGAAAGCCCACTGCATGCCACTTGACAGAAAAAACCAACAACTTCAAGGACGACACACAATTCATGCATGCAGGACCCAAGGACAACCGTGTTGGAAGCACTCGTGCAGAATCGAAAAGGCTGTATTTTCGCGGTCTTGCCTCGCGCTGGTCTGTGTGACATCGAGTCAGCCAGTTGGCTCCTGCCAAAAAACACCAAGAACAAACACGACACGACCGCTCACTCAAGAAATGAGCCACAACCTCATATCATATTCGTTGGGACAAAGACCAAAGTGGCCATAGTGTTCCCACGAGGATCATGAACCGCCACTTTCGTGGCAACATCGGTGGCGTCAAGCCCAACCTGTGCAGCACAAGACAGATAGCAAATTGTGGGACGAGATCTTTGAATATCTTCGAACATCGCTCACCGGCGAACTAACCAGCAGGCATAATCTTGGCAATTTGGACCAAGCATGCAACCAGGACAGTTCCTGCAGCAGAGCAGCAAAGAACGTCTTGTTCTTACGTTTGATGGCAGCTGCTTATCAAAGACGTAATCATGTAACGCATGCTTGTGTTGCCAATATGATGGAAAAATGAGAGCCCACGGCGTCCCCCTCCGCGGAAAGTTTCTTCGTCGGGGGGGCGTGGGGGAAGCACAGTTTTCAACAAGTGATTAACACTGTGTCTCTCGGCTAAGCTTGTTTTGACAGCTGTGTTCGGAGTCCCGACTTGAGCTTGTTCTTGCTTCGTGAAATTCAAAGAGTACGTCACCAGAGGTCCGCGCGCCAACGCCATGATGCTAAGGATCTTCACGAACATCATGAACAATCAGCAAAAGAGGCCGCAAGAGTAGCAGCACAAGAGAAGACAAACGGGACGTAACACAGAGCAAAGCCCAAGGCACAATCAGTACAACAGATACGGGTCGGGACATGCTCCTGATCAGGCGCCGGCAGCGTGAACGCATCCTTTGCAGTCCTCTGTTACACCGGATCGTGCCTGCACATGGCGAAACGACGAAAATGCCTCGAGCCATGGCCGGACAAGCATCGGTCTGCAGGTCGAGCGGGCAGCATGTTGCAAAATGCGAACGTGAGGCATCCGAGTTCCTGGTCTTCTGAGCGCTGGGGTGTCCAAAGACAGTGTCGTCAACCTGTATCGGAAGCGGCGAAGCACTCGTTGCTAGTCGAAAGGCTCTCGTATGGAAGATTTGCGACTTGGCAGCATGCGCCCAAGAGTCCTGAGCAGAAGACTGAAACTTGAGAAGAGGGCGACGAAAGCTAGGGGTAGCTGGGAACACGGGGTGACTAGTGAGGCGACTTGCCCGGGGGGGACGTTTGACATGAAGACTACAAGTGAATAAAAGGCGTGGAGCCAAATTCTATATCCGAGTTCTGGTGGCTTAGAGACAGAACATGTCAAGGCGCTGAAAGATTTCGAGAGACGGGTAGTTTTTAGCAAATGCACTAGCCGCCGACAATTGTTGCGAAATTCACTTGCACATGACACTGAAGCGCTGCGAGAGAGACGGAAGAGCTGCAGCGCAAGCAACAGACTTCAAACAGAAGCAATCTGAGGGACCTTGCGGGGGGGGGGGGAGGGGGAGGGCCTGAAGGTAGGGGGGAGGGCCTCCCCCCCTCTACCTTCTGCCACGCGCCGCAACCTTCAAGGAGGGAGGGGAGGGAGGGGGGAACGCGCCGCACCTTATCCTTCCAAGATACTTCATGAACGAGGTGAAAGGGGGGCTCGCCTCCCACCCCCGACCTTAACCAAACCCTGTTTTTTCCCTAGTGGCTTAATACAAGGTGAATTGCTAAAGGACAACTCCGGCAAGGTCAACAGAGCTAGTTAGCTTTTGTGAATAGCTTTTTCAGGTGCAAAAGTGTCCTCAAAACATGGGGCTTGCGTTCCAGCTGAAACCTGGTGACACGCTTCAGGGAGACCAGCCACTTCGCGCGGCATCTCTGAAGCGTCTGCTAAGTGGGACCCCATAAATATGAAACTATGTCTTTGTTCAATACAACCCCGGGCGCCGTAATTTTGATCGGCTGCTCAGAGGCACTGGAATTCTGGAATTCTTGCATTCACTCGCCATCGGTGGCAAGCTCCTGCAAGAATCCAATGGCAGGCGCCCTTCCGAGCCCGGGGTTGCGTGCTCGTCCCGCCGCAGGACCCGAAGCCCGACAACCCCTGATTCTTCTGCTTAGGACTTTCGACTGGCAACGACTGCTTCGGCCGGTCGTCCAGTTTTTCAATCTATGTGCTTGATCCTGTCTCCCTCCGGCTACCCTTGCAGCTCACCAGCGCAAGGTGCTGGCAGCTCCATCAGGAAGGGTGAAAGTATGGGCGCACCGGCTCATAGACTCATGTCACATGGTTAATCAAGCCTTATAAGGCTCAGGGCTTACGGTTTGGGAGTGCTTGCTTGCTATGGCAAACAAGGCAAGTCCTGAGCCTTCAAGCACTAATTCATGAAGAAGTATTTTGCGGATTCCGAGGGGTGCAGCACTAAAGGGTAAACGTTCATTCAGGCGTCGTAGGAACCCTTTCAAAACTGCCACGGAATCGGATACTCTTAACGTCGAAGTTGATATCATGTCTGCTGTGTTCTCTACATGTGGTGATGCACACTCAGGTGCTGCACGATTGGCGGTCTAGTCCCGAGCGCTCGAGCCGGCGGCTGGAAGGATCGTGTCTGAGTCAACAAGCCTAAACCGGATTTTTTGTCAAACTTGGGGTCGGTTTAGTATCTGATATTTATACATGTCCGTGTTTGGTACCCGTGTAGGTAACTTGAACCGGCATCTGTTTCTGGCACATTCGCGCTTCTGGCACGCTCACATGTGCAAACACTGGCATTCACAGTTGGTGGCAGGTCACGCGAAGCCCCAGATGCGTATGGTGTATGAGCCATCCTCTCGCTGTCGAATCTTCTGGTCGATGGCGACATCTGTGCTATTGTCAGTTGCATGGTCATGATTGACATCATCCGCTTAGTAAACAAATAAGCAAGCAAAGTTTTTCGTCTGTAAATCTATCTGTGCTGTCATGTACATTGCGATATGGGCAACACAGATTTCACCTCTTTCCCAGTCGGCTGCTCAACGAAGCTACGTCGCTGCGCTCGCAGACATAGAGGCGATGTTGAGCTAGCACACGCAGTGCTGAGCAATATTGTGAGCTAGTGTCTCGATTTGGGTGCGTTGACCCATTACCTATGTGGCGCCGTAGCTACATGGACCGTAGGCAAGGCATACCTCAGGCAACTACGGTTACATTCCGAGCCATGCTCAGCCATCACTCTCCAGAGTCAAGCGGCGCATAGGCCGTTTTCTCGCCTGTAGTATGCGACCAACGGAAGAAGGCAAAAACTCCCACCCTCCCCGGGAGCATACAATGGCAATGGCTATTTCGCTGCGAGCCTTCTGGAACGACCTCTCGCCTCGCGAAGACCATTGACGAGGGGTGGGAAAAACGTCCCTACAGGCATGCTAAAAGCTCACCCAGGAGTCGGAAAGCAAGCCAAGTGATGAAACCTTCGCCTTTACCTCGCCCAAAAAAAGCCGTCGAAAATCGAGCGATATGTTGGAACGCAGCGGAAACGCTGAAAAAAGTGCATGCCAACATCACAGCCTCGAGTTTGCACCAGGGTTTACTGGATCCTCTCACGCTGTCGCCAGGGCGAGCCTACTGGACTCCTCTGCTGTTCTTGTTTCTTCCCCTGCCTGCCGCAGCCGTACTGGGCTCCCGGACGCACGGGATGCGCCCCGAGCCGTTCCAATGCATATCAGCCTGGGCCATCACAAAGATGGATAAAATCAAACCAAAGCCGGGAATCTTCGAAGGCAGTCTGTATCCAACCTACACGACACCGAAGTCGGAAAGCCGGCTTGAAAGAGTCGGGTCCACGACAGAAAGGGGCCGAGAGTCAAGGCGGAAAGCCCGCAGGCCTTGGAGATGCAAAGACGCTCTGTGGAGATCCGCTATGTGGGCCGCCTTATCCACCTTGCCTTCATGAGAAAGAGCAGCGGCAAGCGGGGCAAGTCTCGAAAGTTGCCGACCTGAGTGCAAAAAGCAAGGGCTTCCTTCTCTCCGCTTCTGCTTCTTCTCTGAGTCCTCCGGCATATGCCCTGGAGAGGCCACCATGCTCGCCAAGGAGATAGGCGCAATCAAAAGGCTTGTCCTCAAATGACTATGGAAGTTACGTTAGATCTCTTTTAGCTAGCACGGTTTGATTTGAGTGGGGTAAGAACGGGGAGTCTGAGAGGAATGAACTGCCATGGGGAGCGTGACATGCCAAGCCCCAAGCAGCCTTGGTGGGGATGAGCTTCGAGCAACTGTCCTTTCAGAGCGGTTTCAGTGCTTCAGTCGGCGACCCCGTCGCGAAGGTGCAAACTTTACGACGTAAAGTTTGGTGCGCTCAGGTGATCCGGCGTCCTGCACATAGTCCCAGACGATCCCTGCACACACCAAAAGCAACAAATTCTAGATTCTAGCTGCTAAGAAGACCCGCCACTCGTCTCAAGCCTTGCCAGTAAGTGAAGTGGAGGCTGGTCCTAAAAATGCCATGCAATGAGGCGGAGGGCCAATCTCCAGACTTCGAAACTCAAACTCCCGAGGGCCAGGCTTCCCCGCGATCTCTTCGTCCCCAGCTTTGACTTTCAGATTCAGGCTGCAGGGCACATCAGTCCAAGAGGGCCTTCCCAGAATGGCTTCAAGATGTGGTGTAGATGAGTTCGGCTGACTGGCACTGCTGGGAAAGCACATATGAACTCGTATGCTGCTGGGCAGTTCCCAGTTGGAATGAAGCTGGATGGTGCAAAGCGCAGTCCCTTCTCAAACGTGCGGGCGCACCCGGTGATTGGAAACTCCCATCCTGGCCACAGGCGCATCGTAAGCTTCCCAACTCTGAGCATTCCCAAAGCAAAACACGTGATGCGCGAGCTGGAAAGCTAACCCAGATACTCCATGACCATGACATCCGGACGAACTAACTCTCTTGATCTCATGAGCCACGGTCGGGATCTGGACCGGCCTGATTTCCAACCGGAGCTATAATGCGAAGGGGACACAATCTCACCTCGGCAAGCGGGAAGTTCAAGGGCCTTGTTCGTGAAAGCATCGACTTGGCACACGGCATGTCCCATCCTGCAAATGTTGCCGGACTTCCTGGCTGCGACTGCTCTGCATTGCGGAAGATGCAAACCTGACGCTGAACAAATCCTCGGCATCCACGAAGCGCTTCCAGAAGTAACCATTTAACAGGACAACACCTGACAAGGGCAAGCAAAGCAATGTGGCAATGATGGCAATGTGTGTCATTCTCAAGCAATGGCGGTTTGCAAAAGTCCAGGGATGGCGCAAGCCATGATCCCGGCAATGATAGCCAGACCTTAGCATCAGCCTTTGAGCTCGACTCCAGGTTCAGGTTTGCCCCGGCAGTTGCTGAGGATGGCGCCAACAGGTGAGTACTCGGCCATGATGGCACGCTTTGGAGTCCCACTGCACTCTAATTGCTTCCCCAATGATCAGCCCTGCTTTCGCAAATTTACGGCTTCCTCTATGCGGTTCGGCTACCTTTGCCGGCTCGGGTCGGAATGCGTACCACCTTGGATACAGTAAAGGATTTCAAACTGTTACAGCTTGACCAACTCGGTGCTTGAAACCGAGACGCTGCACAAAGAGGTCATCAGATGTAGTGGCCATCAAGCACAAGCGCCGTAGCGCCGCCATGAAATGCAGTCAAAGGCCCTGAGCATCTGCTTTTTCTCTCGTGGACCAGGCTCTGACTCGAGCGCCTGAGAAAAGTCCCGCGCTGACACGAGGTCGAAAATCTTCAAGCTTGTAACTTGCAGGTCTGTCGGTACGCCCGAAACTTCTCGCTCGTTTCTTCGTGCTGATGCGTATCCTCTGGGGGAGTGTACAGTGCCAGTGCTCCTGTTGGCGTGGCATGGACCTTCAGCCTTCAGCAAGCCTCCCTTCCCGGCTCGAGTGCCCTGAACTTCTCTACCTCTGAGATCCTTGTACGAAGAAACTGAAACCTACTTCAACCGGAGGAGTGTGGGAAGAATCAGAAACCCCTGCCTCGTGGGCTTGCAAGCCCTTGAAACCGGGCACTTGATCACAATCTCTACACGGCTCGGCAATCTGCCACTCTCCTCCTTTGTGCATGTTTGGAACCGTGCTGTTTCACACAGCTCCACGAAACCACGGCAGGTTTTTTCTGATTGGCACAGACTGCATTGGTAGCTGTCTGCGGCGACCGCTCAAAGCTTTTGCGGCGGTCAGGAGACGTTTACAGGCTCGGCTTCGGGGACTTCCGTATCTTTCATATCGTCGAGCTGGTTCTCCGGCAGGCCCTCCAGCAGCAGCCTTCTCGAGACACAACAGACTCCACACAAGCACACTGTGGCTTGAACTACAAGAAGGACATCGATGCAAGAAGTGCCGAGCATTGTCGTGCCGAGCCACGAACACTCTAGATAATGTTGAAATGCGAGATACATACACAGATACTGGATAATCCAGAAAACACATATCATATTAACATCTCTCTACTCAGACATATGCATGTCTGTATGTATGCATACGTATGTAGGTATACATCATGCATGCATGCAGGCAGGCATGCATATATGCTACACCTGAAAGACGTACCCGCGAGTACAGAAATCAACATCAACCTCAGCTGTGGTGTGGGCGCTGCCGAGCACATACAACTTGGCGAACGCAGAAACTTTGCACCCCCCAGCCTTCGCACGCCGTTGCAGTGAGCGGCACCGAGCACAGCAACGATTGATCCGCTATCCTTTGGGATGGGCTGCCGCATTTTGCCAGCGTGATGTGAAGACACTTTGACAGCTCTCCTTCTTCTGGCAGACTTTTTTGATGTTCTCGGCCAGGATCAAGTCCCGATCGCGCAGCAAGACCTGCAAGATGACGCGGAAGAGCACGGCCTGCCAGGAGTCTCGTGACATGTCCGGTTCTGCGAAGCCTCGGCCCCTCCTCGGCTGCTATCATGATGAGATCACCGAGAATACCACTTGGCAATACCTGTCCGTATGTTCGCAAGCTGCAGGCAAACATGTGTGCAATCAGAAACAACTCAACTGTGGCCCTTGGCTGCAAAAGCAAAGCGAAGCGCACCGCGCAAGCGAGGTAGAAAGCCACGAGGCCCGCCAAGAGAGTCGGCGCCTGCACGGTCCCGACGGCCCGAAGACGACCCCCCCATGCACGAACCTCGCGCCTTTAGCGCCGTGGAGAGCACGTAGCGTGGCACAGCGACCAGAAACCCAAGGATCCTTGCATGAAAGACAATCATTAAGAATTTGTAGAGGGGGAACAGAGAGAGAAAGGACGGCGAGGCAATGACAGCTCTGGGTCCGCAAAGTCCGCCAGCCCGAGGCCCTGAACATAGCGCTTTCACCAGGGTCGGATGAGATCCAATTCTTCGAATTCTGGCCGCTTGTGGTGTGTCAGCCTCCTCTGAGCCTGCGCTGGCTTCGGCTTTCCTGCAAGAGTCCGACGTGACGATGTCCCAAAGTTGAACCCAGGAGACGAATGCAGAACTGGTGACATGGTAGAAGACTGGAGCTCGCATCTAGCATCAACTCCAAGCTATCTGCCTCTTCCTGAGATTTGCGAGGTTGGCCTCAGGAGCTGCCGCGGGATGGACCAGTTGTCTGCAAGAAGGTCATCGATGATGCATCATGCAGGTTGCAGCATGACGCCAGTTCTGGCAATTCCGGCAAAGCAGCCGCGACTGGAGAATTACCAACGGCAAAGCTGTGATCGCACCGGAGGGTTCTTCTGTGCCAACACCAGCGAAGGACTCGAGAGTATCTTTTCTATCCAGCAAGTGCATCCGCCAGCAGCATTGCAACAAGGGAGTGTTTCGTACTGATGCGGGCACAAGTAGGGACAGGACCATGCCACTCACCAACGCCGCACCTTCCACAGGAGACTGCATCTCCACTTCATGATTTCCAAAAGGACCCAGGTCGCCTCTGTGCTACTTAGCGACAGGCTGCCTGCGCTACATTCTGCTCACGCTGACCGTGCCTGTTCTCTGCCATCCCTCCAAAGGCGACAACATGTCATCGATTGCGGCCCTGCAGGGGTCTGCAGCCCTTTGCACACCCAGAGCCCAACCAGTCTGTGCTCGTATCATACATGTGATGCTAAACATGGGCGAACCTGAAACAGATACCAGTACAAGCATGCAGACAGATCCTCGCATGCAGGTGACGATCTCTCACAAACTGTGCAGATCTGTGCAGTTCTGGGATCCCTCTTAGTTAGCGGCTAGCGGCCTCGCTCCTCTCTGAGAGATCTCATGATGCACAGCTGCGGAGAATTCTTCCCAGCCTCCCGGCCGTGGTGATATCCCTGGTCAAATCCTCGATTCGCTGATCTCCCAAGACCTCGGTGCCGTCCCAGCTGCGGTGAAGTCGTGGCAAATATGTTGTGCAGGCCCTACTGAGCCGTGACTGTACTGTAGCAACTGCGACTGCTCCCGTGCAGAACGGGCTCCCCTGCCACGTCGATGCTGCGCTCCTCCGCAATTTCTGCGGCGGCCTGCTGATTTGTGACTGCGTGCTGCATGCTCTCTGCATTTGCGAGACAAGTGCAACAGGGGCGGGACACAACCCTTATAAAGGCAGGATGGGAGAAACAGTTTTAATGTAGACAGCATGCACGAGCTCTTTTTTCCTCACGACGAGGATCATAGCCCAGGCTTTCGCTGATATTGCCGTTCGTCAGGCTTCGGCGTGATCATTACCGAGCAGTCGAAGTCCACACCATCCTGCCCGGGCACCCCGTCGCAAATCTCCTCCTCCATATGGAACTCCAAATCTGCATGGACTTTCTCTTTAAGGCATGCTTTCCTTAGCTATTACTTAGTTGCAGGGCGGCTTTGCCTCAAACCTTGCGAGACAGAAAGCAGGCTCTGTCAGTCAAATGCCGCGAAGCTGCAACACAAAGCTGCTGAACGTTCTGACCTCCTGCGGGATGCGGATCGGTACTCAAAGACGTGTCCGTCTTCAGACTGCATGATCAAGACCGTGGTGTTTCAGCTCCTTTGTTTCCCCGCTCTTGGTCTGTATGGGGAGCTCGATTTGGACAAGGCATTTCTCAAGATCAGGTAAGCTCTCCCCAGTTGCGATCTGTTCCAAGCCAGACTTGTAGTGCTGCACTCCTGGGCAGGCATGCGCATGCTCAACGCTGTCTTGAGCTTGGGTACCACAGGCAGGCAAATTTCAATCAACTGCTGTTCCATGCAAACGTCGCAAGTCTTATCTCACGGTGCAGTCTCGAGAAATGCACTGGCAAGGTTCGAACGTTGAATGTACAGTTCGCCATGCACGCCAAGTCAGGTGCTGCACAGCTGCCACCTTGTTGCAAACAAATCAGCACCAGAACGTCCCGGATTACCGCATGAGTGGATGCACATCTAGATAGTGTCCATCCCCAGCCGGAATTCCTCATGGATGCCTAACCACTTTGCGTGTCTGTTTGCAAGTCTGACAGTATGTATGAAGGAGGTATATATGCACGTATATGTTAAGTATATATGTGCACTACATCTGTAGCAGACTCATAACAGAGAAACCCTAAATTAGAAGCAGGGAAGACAAAGGGGCACTCGCTTCTGATCGCCTCCTCCTCCTGACCGGACGGACAGGGCGTTGGACCCGCGGCAGGTTTCGGGAACAAAAAGCACAACACGCACGTGCGTCTGCTGCATTGGATTCTCTCCCCTGGGGCTTTGGATTTTGGAGCTCCGAGCATGAGCCTTGTCGCTGGCCATCTTTGCAGGCTGTTTGCAATTTTCATCGAGGAGTCCTGCACAAAGTGCCGCGGTCAAACTTCATCGAAGTAGATGGTCCACAGCTGCAGAACGTTTACAATAGGTAAGCCGGGCTACTTCGCTCTCCATGCTGTTTCCGGCTCTTCCGATGTTCCAGTGCGTACCTTGAAAGCAGGCGAGGCTTGAACATAATTACTGCTGGGGCAATGCATTGCTGGGTGTCACAAGTGCGGCTTGAAGTCTGGTCTGCGGTCAACGACTCAATGTCTTCGTCTTGCCGCAGCGTGAGGCCAAGCATGAGAAGCATGCTGAAGCGCAGAGTACATGGCAGTCCAAATTGGCGCCGCAAGGGGACTTCCATGGAGAGAAGTTTACAGATGTCGTGCCGTCTGCTGAGCGCTTTGTCCGAATGTCTGACAAACTGCTGCAAGTCTTGTAACGAGGGGCCTGTAAGGACGTGTTAGAGCTATGTGATTAAAGTTCGGACAGTTGCGCTCACTTGCAGACAACTTAGCTTCAAGCCAAAGCGGCCTGGCAAGAGTGGGCGGCGCAGCCCTGTTTTCTCGCAATGCTCTGAACCGTGCTGTGCCAATGGGCCAAGCACCAGTGGATGGCCCCTAAACCATTCACAGCCTGCATCTCGTTGTCCAGTATAGACCGGAGAGGACTTCCGGGCTTTTGAGACTCCTGCTCTGGCTGTTGCGGTGTTTCGGGACGTATCGAAGGCAGTGCAGAAGAAAGGACCAAGGATCAAAGAATGATGGGGCTTCCACTCCAGGCCCGTGTCAGAGGTCTCAACAGCCCTGTCACATCAGAACAGATCTCCTCTACTCTTTTCCACCGAGTTTTGCCTTAACTCACTCCAGACGCAAAACGCCAGGATGCAGTCAGATGCAGTGCAGGCGAAGAACACTCCGACTTTGGATGTTCTTGCCAGGATGCAGGTCTCCAGCACGACGGCACCCAGCTCTTTGGTCTCGGCAAGCTTCCTATGCAAGCGTGCCCCGTCAGCAGAGCGCGGGTACGCGAAGGGGGCGTTCGGATTGTAACTCAGAAACCCCACCTTTTGCAATCTTTGCTCCCTGCACGTAGTACCCTCTCTGCGACTGTGTTTACGAGCTTCTGTTTCTACTTGGACGGCCGCCGGACGGCCTTGTCACTTCAGTCGCCTTCTGCACCGAACGCCTCAATCCACCATCGCTGGGCTTCACTACACATGCCGTGCCGCTCGTCATCTCTGGGGAAGCTGCGGATTGAAGTGCACTGAGGCGATAAGGACCACCTCTCTGCCACTGGAGGGCTCGACGAAAGGCAAGACCTGCACTTGTGGGGACCGGAAAGTGTCGCTTCACCAACAGCCCAAGGGATCCCTCTGCCTGGGGCTCCCGGGCAGTGGCCCGACGCGCGCATTTCGCTGCCGCGGCGGCGAGCACCAGCGGCGCAGCTGTCGGGAATCTCTTTGTTTGAGGCACCCAAAAGCAACTCAACAGCTGAATCAGCTGAACAGCTCCCGGCCGCCTGCCACGAAGCCGCTCTTCGCCGCCGGAGCGGTAAGCCGAGGCGGAGGCGCCCCGAAGAGTCCCGGCGCCGCCGGCGCTCGAGCGCCGCTCGGCGCCGCCGCCGCCCTTGCCGGCGTGGAAAAGCCCGCACAAAACACGCGCCCATACCTCCGCGTCTCTGCGTTCCCTTTTTCGATCTTTCTTTAGGCAGTCCTGCCGCTCAGGCCGGGAGCCGCGAGGAAAGGCAAAGCTGCGGCCATCTCTTTGAAGAGCCAAGTTGAACTGGACCAAGTTCTGTAGGAGTTCTCCAGGTCTTTTGGTTGCGGCTTGTTTCAGCTCCCCGGAGCAGGAAGGGCTTGGGCGCTTGGGCTTGCTGTTGTCATCCCCGGCACTGCAAACTCTGTGGTCAGCTGCAGACAGCAAACATGGCACGAACCAAGAACTCCGCTCCTGATGTATTCTGGATCTCCGGAAGCTAGGGCAATGCTTGGCCAACGACGTGGGAAAGCGCACTCCGTTCTTTTTGGAGATCCGTCACGCCATCATGTGATGTCTTCTCCGCTCAGCAGCCTTGGGGCTCGAAGCAACGTCAACACCCCGACATCAAACTTCCAGAACCCTAACTTCGAGAAAGCGCTCGAGTGAGTACTACCCAAAGCTCATCGGAGGCTAAGTGGCCGGTGAGGTCGAGCGCACTTCCAAAGGCCGCCGGCGTCCTTGCCCGTGGCCTACTTGGCCTTGTCCGGACGGAGGCGCCCCGCCAGCGGACGCAGACCTGGAAGCAGGCCTTCCAGGCCCAGAAGGCCCAGGAGGCGCAGGTCCTGGGCCCTCAGGCTGGGGCTGCCAACCGCATCCTTGGGCTCAGATCCGCACAGCCTCCAAGCCTCGTGCCTTCGATCCTGCCTGGCCTTTCCCCATCAAGGCTGGAGTCGGTGGCCAAACGCACTCACCTCAAAACTGGACAGCTCACAACCAGCTGCACGATTGCTTGCGAGTTCGGCCAAGTGGCGCAGCTCTCCCTGCATCTTCAAGCGGCTGACAAGATCCTGCGATGGATTTGGAGCAGTGGTGATGACATGAGTGCGCTTGGGAAGCTCTGGGGATCTTTGCGACATTCCAAGTGACCACTTAACCGATTTCTGGGGCTTGAGCAAACATGCTGACCAGCATTCCCCTCGTCACCGTTCCGCCTTGGCAGATTTTCGCCTGAAGGCCTCTGATAAACCCCGTGTTGGCCTTGGTGAAACTCTCGGAAACTTGCCTATGGCCTTTCGAAAGGCAGAGCTAGACCTGGCCGCTTGTCCTCCATGGTCTCATCGAAGCCTGCCGGAGCGACTTCGCGAGTCTTCGAGCCCCCGCCCTGTGCAAGGCATCGCCTTGGAAGGTCTCGAAGTAGGAGACGTGGGCGTCGCAGAGGAGCTGGGCCGTGGCACAAGCAGAGCCTCAGTTCCAAAGACCTCCTCTTCTTCTCTCTCCCTTCTCTCTGCATCTGTAGACGGTACACGGTACAGGCAGGACCGTTGCTTTCCCAGGCGCGGGTGCCCTCGAAAACCAGCGCATAGTCCTTGTCGTCGAACCGGACACTGCTCGCACCGCTGGCGATCTGCACCCGCTCAGCCACCTTGCAGGTGCACTGTATCTGGTGCTTGGAGGGGCGCGGTGCGGTGTCGAGTATTGTCTTGAGACTCTGGATCGCATTGGCCCTGTGCTTGCAACGTGGGGAGCTGTAATTTTGGCTAGGTTTCACTGGCAAATCTTTCTGCCTGATATGGAAGCCTTTTGCATCTCTTTGAGGACCCGCTGTTCGGATTTTGGGTGGACGGTCGAAGCATCTTGAGGTTCGGTTTGTAATCATCGCAGCAGCTCAAGATAACCGCGGCTGGCAATTGCTGGCTGGTGGCAGTCCCATTGCGTCCCAGGATCCAGCTCTTCCTCAGCCGGAAAAGTCTCAAACGCAGATATTTGGGGGCGTCAAGTTCACCATGTTGCAGAAGCAGATGTTGACAGACAAGCCCACGACTTTCACTACACTACGAACTGTTGCACCTCATTCTGCATAAGTACATGCCGCTGGACGGTATCTACGTCATTTATGTGGATGGATATGCTGCAAGCATATTGTTTTGTCTTCTTGTATGTCCCGAAGCCGACAGCGAGTGGCGTACAATGAGAACTATGAAATAAACGATGTCGTCATCTGCCATTTGATTTCAATCGCTTCGCATCATCTGCCTCGGCCCGGCCGTGGTGAGTTGCTTTGGAAAGCAGCAACCCGAAAGCCTACCAGGTCACCAAGGCCCATAGGCCTGAAACCCGAAACCCCAAACCTTAAAGCTTAAACCTTAGACCCGAAACCCTTAACCAACCCGCAGCGTATAGGGAGAAAGCACAGCCCCTGATGCAAGCGTGAAGCTCGCATGCCATGGTGCCGGAGGGTCAGCAAGCAGGGTTCGCCAACCGAAAAGTTGACATTATTGGAAGTGTGGAGGAAGGGGTGTGAACGGGCGGAGGGGTCGGGCGGGGGGGCGGGAAGTAGGGGTGAAGACGAGGGGTGGACAGGTAGGTGAAACTACCCTACAGGGAGGACCTTGGAGCTCATCCAGAGGTTCACACAAAGGAGGTGGGGAAGCAGGCGGGTTTGGAGGGGGATGGAAAAGTGATAAAAAGATGCGGAATAAAGGGAATCCGTTCTGACCGCTTCGGCCGAGGCCAAGGCGAAGATAGTTAGTGTCCTTATGCACCTTCTCCCCAAACGGTATCAACACAGGCGAAGTTCTTACATGGGCTTGGGAACAGCGGCCCTAAGCAGTGACTGCCGAGACCTCGTGTCCCCAAGCCGACAAGGGCCAACCCACGGTCCAAGCATTGCAAATACAACCCCTCCTGCTGTTTGGAGGCTACCCCAACACTGCTGATTTGGCATTACAACTTATATACTTGAGCAACTGGACTATGTGCACTGGAGGGCATGGAGGCTTGCTGCCTCATCAACGGCGCACAGGCTCTGTAACCAAGTTTAATCGAGACGCATCCCCTTCTCCACCAGAATCGTCTTCTTGATCACTTCTGCCATGTCTCGAATTGCATGGACATCCTCCTGAATTCCACGGGTTGCTCAACCAATGCAAGACAGACGCATGCTCTTTGCCTCGTTCTGACCCAGCACGTGGACGCGCTTGAAGCCGGGAGTCTGTGGTTCAGCGGTTGTCAAATGTACGTTGCAAAAGAGGCAACCCCGCCAAGGCGCCGCGCCTCCGCCTCTTCCACCACAATTCTCACGCCATGCTCCTTTTGCATGGCCTGGGCCAGCTGCCAACTCTTCGCTACATGACGTCATCGAAAGTTGACCTATCTGCGCATCCGCTTCGCTGCTGTCTCTTACTCGGCTGCGCTTTCGCCCTGGGCACTGCCCTGACGGAGAAACCACAAAGGGCCAGGAGTACAGCTACTGACTGCATCGCTTGGGTCCTTGGACTTTCCTGTGCAAACCAAGCTTTTCGCATCTCGCACGTACAATTGAAACCTCAGCAACTTGGCTGCCTGTGCACCTTGCAGGCCAAGACTAGAAAACTGTTCTTTTTCAGCGGTGTTCTTTTTCGGCGGAGTAGGCTTGAAGATTCCGCTGTGGCCGCTGTTTCTTCTCCGAATTTAATTCACGAGCTGTGCAATTTTCAGAATGGTGCCCTGGAGATTTGGCTACATCAAGCACGGGGAGCAGTTTCCTGAAGCGGGGCTGGAAAGGTGTCTTCGTTTGCTATCCCAAAGAATCCTGCAAAATTCTGGCAGTTCCACGCTTCTGAGAGGACCGGCCTGGATGTTTGCGCCGCTCTTGCCGATGAAGCGGCCCACTGCAGCCTTGGGCAAAGCGAACTCCGCCCTGGAGAAGCCTGGCCACGGCACGGGCACTCGCACTCTACTGACTCTACTCGCCTGAGACTTGGAGCTTCCTTTCCTCTCTTCAGCTCTCAGGCGCCATGCCATCTCACAGATGGCGTCCCAGTGCAACTGCATCCACCACACTCATATGATGTAGACGTATAATGTACATATATATATATATATATGCACACATACAGATGTACATCCATCTTTACACTTTACTCATTATCGTTTTCAGCATTTGCTCGTCTACAGTATGCAAATCGTTTATACACGCACGCACGCACACACACACACACACACACACACACACACACACACACACACACACACACGGATGCACCCGATACATACCCACATGTGTGGAAGTTCTATGTACGTATGTATACATGCATGCATGCATGTATGAAAGCCAGCTTGCAAGCCAGGAAGGAAGGATGGCTGGATGGATCCGTACAAGGAGCGTGCAATACATTCTACTTATGTCTTCCATCTAAGAATCTAAGATCTACCTGCTGTTACCAAATATGTCCCGTTGCATGTACCGTGGCAGGGCTCGAGACAGCCCGTCGGACCCAGAGACATCCTGCAGCGCCTTCAGCGGGCCGGCGAG